TATAAATAAATGTGAATAGATATTTCCTCCCCGTTGAGAATTATAAATGGCAACTGTTCTGTACCTTAACACGTAGAGCCATAGTATTGCAGAGCTATTAAGGGCTGAGGCTCTGGAAGCCTGTGTTCCAGTCTTGACCCTGTCATTTATCACTGCTGTGACCTTAGGCTGTTTCCTGACCTCTAAAATGGAGGAAAATATGAGTACCTGCCTGTTAAGGTCATTGTAAGGACTGAATGAGTTAATGTATCTATGTTCAATGCTTAGAACGGTGCCTGGCTTGTAGAAAGCAGTGTAATATATATCAGACATTACTATTTCACTTAATGTATCTTAGAGATTTCATTACAAGCACAAATAAAGGACTCATTTATTTATTTACAAATGCTTAATATTTCATTGAAGAACATACCACATTGTGCTTGGCCTTGAATGATGAATAATATTTAAAAAATTAGGAAAACAGTGGTGTTATAGGGCAGTCAGAAGGTAGAGCAAAAGTAACAGGTTATCACTACATCCCTTACATTGGTTAAAATTTAAAAGGCTGACCATACTGAGTGTTAGCAAGGATGTGGGACTATTGGAACTCTCTCACACACTGCTGATACGAGAGTAAAATGGTGTGTTTATGTTGGAAAACAGTTTGGCAATTTGACAATTTCTTACGAAACTAAACACACATCTGCCACATGACTGAATTAAAATAAAAACATATTCACACACTGACTTGCCCACAAATGTACATAGCTTTATTTGCAATAGCCACCACCTGGAAACAACCCAGTGTCCATCAGCAAGTAACTGAATAAACAAGTTTTGGTAAATTTGTACAATAGAATACTATTGACCAATAAACATAATAAATGCTAATTGGATAATTTCAAAATAATGTTGCAAAGTTGAAATATTGCATGATTTCATTTATATAAAACTCTAGAAAATGCAAACTATCATGAACAGAAAGCAGATCAGTCTGTGAGGATGGAAGTAAGCGTGTGGGGATGAATCACAAAAGGGCCTGAGGGAACTTTTGGGGGGATGATGAATATGTTTATTATCTTGTGATAGTTTCACAGGTATATGCATGTGTCAAAACTCATCAAACAATGCATTTTAAATAGGTGCAGTTGCTTATAATAAACCTTAATAAAATTGGAGGAGAAAAAAGAAAATAATCGAATATATTCAAAACAAAAAGATGAAAACGCTCATAATAAGCTAATAGAAAAATTAAAATTTTTGAATGTCAGAATAGAATTGAATATGCATGCAAATATTGCATAATACGAAAATAATCTAAAAATCATTTGCATTTAGTTCTTATTTTGTGGTTTTCTGTCCTTGCTCCCATATCCAAACTAAGTATGTTTACAGGAGAGGAAAAATCTTTCTTTCTAGCCTTTTAAATGTTCTTTTCTGGGGTCCCTATAACACAGATAGATGGATAAGAGAAAAACATCCAGAAGTTTGTTAACATGTACATCTCATACAATCATGGAAGAGACTCAGGGAAAGAAAGAGTAACTAAAAAGGTGGCTTAGAACTCCTGCTTATATAGCATTTTCAACAAAAAACAATCCACCTGCGGATAAATGACCGGGTGAAGACAAGCGACTTTTGGTTTCCAATTCAGCAAACTGGGAAGGTAAATGTATGGGAGGGAACTGATGAAGAGAGGTTTGTTCGCAGATTCCTCTGGTGCCATCTCTGGGCTGGTAAGAGTCTAGAATCATCGCCGGTAAAGGGTAATTTATGTCCTGCTTTTATGCAGAAAAGATGAAGTATAGAAAGAGCTTTGCCTGTGTTTGCTGTTTCGGCTCAAAATTATTCTATCACAAAGAGGCCTATTTTGGGGTGACATTCTGGTTTCCTCCATCTTCATTATTCAGTTGGGAAACTTTCCTTTCAATTGCTTTCCTGAGTCACTTAGTATTTACTTATTGAACTGGATAGTTCAATGACAATCAATATAATTAGACAGTTTTTTTTTCCTAAGTAGAGATAAAGAAGAGCTTGATTGATGTATGTGTTTGTATGTTGTATGCTCTTCAAAGGGGGACATGTGGAGAGGAGGCTGCTAGCGGTGATTCCATTCAAAGTTGTTGCTCTTTCCTTTACACCAGCGATTCTCAAACATTTTTGGTCTCAGGATCCACTTTGCTCTTAAAATGTATTGAGTGCCTCAAAAAACATTTGTATATCGACAACATTTAATGTATTAGAAATTAAAACCTAGAATTAAAAAATAATTATCAATTAATTTTTGAAGTAGTAAACTCATTCCATGTTAATATAAATAACATATTTTTAGAAAAAAATACATTTTCAAACAAAATTTAGTGAGAAGAATGGCATTGTTTTCCATTTTTGCCAATCTCTCTAATGTCTGGCTTAAAAAAAGACAGGTGGATTCTCCTATCTGCTTCTCAAGTGTTGGAAAATTTTAAGTTTTAAGTTATAGTTTATAAGCTTAGCAATTAATGCCTGTAAAAAACTATTGTTCCAGGAACTGAGGATATGAGCCATCCTGACTCCAGGTGACCATAAGCAGTTCCACCTTTGTGCCCCAGGAGGACAGCGAATGATCAAGATGGTATCTGAGCCAATGTGCTCCAGGGTGAGATGCCCACCACCCAGGACACAGATGAAAGAGTCATAGGTCAACAGATGAAAGGATGCTGGGAGAATTACCAGACTTCAGCTTTAATTTTTCCTGAATTGCAAACCCTTACCTTCACCGTTCTCCCTATGAAAAAGGTCAGATTGAGAAGAGATGTAAAATGATATTTTGGGGTACATAATTGCAGTCTTCTCAGATGCCAGCCATCTGAATAAAGCACCCATACAGATTCAACCCTTGTCTCTACTTACTGGTTCTGGTAGTGACCAGCAGAAACCAGAAAACACGGGCATTTCCAGTTTCACTTTATCATTGAATCTGCTGTGACGCCAGATGTCACGTGACCTCTGGAGAACTCCACTGTACAATCAGGAGATATGCAAGTGAAAAACAAATAACATATTAGTATTGTTATGAAATTGTTTCCACGCCAAGGACTTCAGTAAAAGGGTTTTTGTTGGCCCAAAACCTCTTCTCTCGGGGAGACTTTGAGCCCATGTCTTGCTAAGCCATGCCTGAGTCCCGGCATATAGCTGCACATCTATTCTGTTTTTACAAGAGTACTACTGAAAGAGAGTCAACAACTTTTTGAGTTTTATGAAATATTTACTATCTCAAATAGCTGGAGTCTCAGAAATTCTAGCCTGGAAAAAATGGGTATGAGGCCAAAGATTATAATGAATATTTATATATCTAATTATTGTTTGTCCCTAAAGCCATAAAGAATATGAATATATCTATTACTGGATTAAAAAAAAACTTTTTATGGCCAGACTACTCTGAAAGTTGGCCCACTAAATAAAACACCTGGAGTTGCTTTAGCAATCAAGGGAACAGTCCCCTGACCACATTTTTCTTGAATGACAACAGTTTCCATTACTTTCCTAGACAACAAGTTAGTCATCAAAGGTTCTTTTAGAGCAGAACATGGTCTTCCTGTCATACCCAAACCAGTGAATTAATTTAATGTAATCATGTAACAGAAAACCAGTACTGTGTGTAAATGATACTGCTCCTGGCCACAGAATTTGGGAATTGGTGGAGATTGTGCATCCAGAAGAGGTCTAACTTCATTTAATGTATAAATTACATAAAGCCTATTTATGGAACAAAAGTCAGTCAGTTTTGGTTGAGCGTGGGTTTTTGAGGTCAATTGCATACTTTTTTATACAGGAAAAAAAAAAATAACCAGAGCAAAAACCTGATGGCCAAATCCCTCCTTTCTCACACTCCCAGAGTTCTTTCAGATTGTTTCTGTTTCCACTCGTCCCTGTGTAATTTCACCCTGTCAGAACAACGCAAGATACAGGTGATTTATAGGTGTGGAATGCTGTTCCTGAGGGCTGGATGGAACTGGTGGTACAGACTTTGGATCTGAAGAATTCAGCCTGGTGATGAGAGAGATTTGATTTGTGGTGTGAACACATAATACGGTATACAGATTCATGTGTCGTGCAATTGTGTACCTGAAACCTGTATAATTCTGTTAACCAGGGTCACCCCAATAATTTTTTTTTAAAAAAGAAGTCCGCCAATTGCAGTCAAGAACACTTTTTGCTATCAAGCAATTTGGTGGTTGTTCCCACTTCGTTTGATTCAGTAACTTTCTCAGGGAAGATATTGGACATTAATAGTTAGATGTTTCCTTAGAAAAACCTAAGGGAATCACTTAAGTGTTTGGTATTGTGAAGTAAAGAATCTAACCTTTCCTACAAAAAGAGGTCTGACTTTTGCCCTCAGCTTCCCGAAAGGAGTGTTTCTGTTTGCCTGGGGCCAGTCAAATAGCCACACTGTGATATGGTTCTGGGTTTCAAGTCATACGGTTGATCTCCTGAGGTGCTGGAATCTGAGAGTACCTCCTGGATGGGACCCCAGTAGAGACTCTGGACACCATGGCTTGGGCAAACTTCCTTGGTTGGTGATACTCAGTCTCTATATAGTCACACCTCAATGCGAGAAAGTGACAGTGTTATGACTCCGCAGGGAGAGGAAAACAGCAGCTCACATACTTTCTTAGCCTCTGCCCTATGTACTTCTTCCCCTGCCTGATTCTAATCTGTATCCTTTAGCTCTGTTAAAGTATAACCATAGTGTAATAGCTGTCCGTGAGTTCTGTGAGTTATTTCAGGAACTTATCAACCCTAAAAGTGGTATGTGAAACCCCGAACTTGCAACTGATGTCAGAAGTAAGGGTAGCTTCTCTCTCTCCCCGCCCCCCAGCGCCCCCTCTTTGGCAGATCTAAAGCTTTATTATTAGAATGAGTCGCTTTAGAATTGAATTGATAGATCCTCTAAAATGGCTTTAATATGGCACAAAACTCTTGATTCTCAGAGTGGTATGCCTACTTACCTGCCAAAAAGTATTTTGAAAGGAAATAAAAACATGGACCGTTTCGGAAGTCTCTTGTCACCCTTGCGCAGAGGCCATGCTAGTCTTCTCCGTGTTGTCCCAGTTTCTGGGGATGTGTTGCCGAAGCAGGCGCTGAGGGGAGTCTTTATGTGGACTGTTCCTTCTCACTTCTCAGTTAGCTAAAGTCTCGTAAGTATAAATGCACATCTGTATGTCCTGCAAAAATCCCTACTAGCACAGGCTTTACTGCCTGCAGTCCACCAATCCCGGCCTGTCCTAATAAAGTGCAGACTAGTATATTTCTCCCAACATTGTACTCAGGAGAAATCACATTAAAATGAAGATTAAGGGCAGGATGGGGAAAGAAGACATACTACATTCAGAAAGATGTTCATTGAGGTATCTATCATGTGAGTGAATAGAGCACTGATTCTATAAATTATGATATTCCATAGAGTGGATATTATTTTAAAACTCAGATGGATATCCATATGCTAATATAAAAAAGATCTCTAAAATAGTTTGTTAAATTATAAGGATGTCAGATAGGACACAACATGTCTAACAGGGAGTGGAATTCTAATATTAATCCAAATGCTAGACTTTATAAAGGATGTAAAATTTCTGGAATCCCAGGTACAATTATGACCTGAGCAAAACTTGGAAGTAGAGACTGAGCCGACGGACCCAGGGGAGTGCTCCGCTTCCAATATTTCTCCTCCTCCTACCTCAGCAGTGTCCTCCCTACCTCCATTGATGCTCTCTCTCCTCCGTTGCAGTTGCTGATCTTATTCCTCTCTTCCCTCCTCTTGCAGGCTCTCCTTAGAAACGCCCAGGACTAGCAGGAGATCCATACTCCACTCCCTGAGACCCGCCACCTCCGGCTCACCTTTCACATCCTTCTAAGTCCCTGACTACACAACCACTTATGTGGGGCTTTCTTGCCTCTGAAATTCTTTTATTGCCTGACCACCAGTTCTGTATTCAATCATACACAGTCATGAATTTTGGTAATATTTTGCATGTATACAGCTTGTTTCCTCAGATGGAAGGTTATTCCCTTGAGGACAAGAGCCATAAACTGTATTTCTTTGCACCTACCAATACCTGGTAAAAGAATCGTAGGAAACAGGTGTTGAGTAAATGTGGGGCTGATGATTGATGGAGGCCCCACTCTGCAGAGCTCCAAGGGCAGAGGAACGAGAGCAACAGCACGTCCACAGTGCATGTGTAACAAGGGACTCGATCTGCTTGTCCTCATCAAGGCCGTGACTAGATGATAGGCCAGCTTGTGCAAGCAAATTCTGCTATTGACCTAAAGTTCCTTTTCACAGGGACATTTCTGGCAAAGTCCTGAGCTTAGGGCTGCCAAGGTAAGAATGCACACTAACCAGTAGAGAACATCACAATAAAATACGCCTCAGAGCAAAGAATACAATGTGTTTGCTTTAGGAAGTAAAATTTAAATCACTGGTTATAGATAATCAATACTTCCCTCTAAACCAGTGTTAATGTGTATGTCAGCTTCTTGGTAAGGGGCTGCAGTAGACCAGTGTTTGCAGTTCTCTTCCCCTTTCTGGCTCACCCTTTGAATGTAAGTGGCCTCATGACTTGTTTTGGTCAATAAAATGTTAGTGGAAATGATGCACATTACTCCCAAGCAGAAGCATTTCAGAATCAGTGGCCAGTTCTGGCTGATGTGGATGGGATTCGATCCCTGGTCAGGGTGCATACGGGAGGCAATCAACCAATGTTTTTCGCTCACATCAATGTTTTTCCTTCTCTCTTTCTTTCTCCCTCCCATCCTCTCTCTCTAAAAGCAATGAAAAACTGTCCTCAGGTGAGGATTGAAACAAAAATTGGTGGCCAGTTCTGCATGCTCTCCTCCCTTGTAGCAGCAATCATGGGAACACGTACTCAGACTGAGATGCAACGATATTGGAGCAGGAAGATGGAGTGTATCCGCTCAAACTAGACTTATTGGACAGCAACCATGTGCAAAGCACTGTTAGACGCTGGGAATATGCTAGTGCACAAGGCAAAGTCTCTGCTCTCGTGGGCAGGCATCCATTTTTGACTTATATAAATCAGTATTTCATTCTGGCTCTGACTTGTATGGTAAAAGGAGGTAGAACATGTGAAGATGATGGGGGACTCCGATGATGGAAAAATTTTAGTTTGGGTTAATAGTTGATAAGCTTAGTAATCAATGTATGTAAAAAGCTATTGTTTCAGGAACTGAAGGTATGAGCCACCCTGACCCCACGAGACCAGAAGCAGCTCCACCTTTGTGCCTCAGGAGGACTCAAGCCACCAAGATGGGATCTGAGCCATTGTGCTCCAGCCTGAGATGCCCACCGCCCAGGGCCCAGATAAGGACCACCGCCCAGGACACAAATGAAAGAATGTTGCAGCTTTTATCTGATTAACTTTTTGCCTGAATTCCAAACCCCTTACCTTTTCTTCTCCTTATAAAAAGCATCCATTTAAAACGGAATTTAAGGCTGTCAGGGTACAAAACCGCTGTCTTCTCAGATTGCCGACCATCTAAATAAAGCGCCCATAAAAATTCAATCCCTGTCTCTGCGTATTGGGTCTGGTAGGTGGCAGGCAGCATGAACACCAGCTTTTCCTGTTTCAAAGAGAGCCTATAAAATAGACTTCCTGAGGTCTGAAATTTGATGGAGGGGTTGATTTACGAACAAGTAGGAGTGACTCTTTAAAGAATGTTCCAGGCTGTGGTTCTGAGGCAGAGAAGGGCAGAGTGCATCTGAAAAGAAAAGGCCAGCATGTCTGGACAAGAGAATGTGGGGGAACAGTCAGTCCACCAGGCTTGTGAAACACATAGAAACCACACTGTATGGGCCTTGTGGGCTTTGGTGAAGATTTCAATCCTTACTCTAAACCCTACTATTAACAATTAACAGTCCAGTATCACCCCCTGTCACACTTCCCTTGACTCCAGCAGCCCCTGTAGGTGGCACCGAGTTCCTCCTGGTTGGGAGAGACTCAACCAAGTTGAGAGATAAGCACGCCATCCCGTCATGAGCTCACCGAGTGGTGTCTCCCACTCCTCCAGTGCCACCACGACCTTGTGCCATCCCAGGGTATGGGACAGGGGCCTTCAGCAGAGACCAGGGTCTGCTCGGGTTCAACTGATAGAAGGGGGTTTGTTACAGGTATTAAATTGCTTATGAAATTGTCGATGTAAGAAATGTCCAAACCTGTAGAGAATTTTTATGAGTTTATCGGAGCCAAACTGATGACAATTGCTGGGAAGCAAAGTCTCACAGACTGAGAAAACACGATGGGAATGGCAATTTTGCAGGTGATTTTATATATTAGAATCAAAGGAGGAGGCAGAAGGAGGGTTACGTGAAATCCATTGGTGGTAGATTAGGGAGGTGAAAGAAAGCAAACCAGGAAAATCTCTGAGTTTGGCTAAAAAGTAAAACAGATAGGCACATCCTTCTTTTACATTGGTGGGTATAGGGTAGTTAACAATCAACATTTACAGCACACAGAGATGGCAGTGAGGGACAAGAGAGCGGTGAGGGGTTCCCTGGTCTCCTGCTCTGCTGGGAGACTGTGGCCTGAGGGCTCTGGCAAAAGGGGATTCCTCTGACAGTCCAAAGTGATGTTATCAAAGATGCAAGAAGAAAATAGACTCTGTTAAGGTAAAGACTGACCTTTGTCAAGGGAGATACAGGCCGAGGACATGACTACCCATCGTGACTCAATTTAGTTAAGAAGTTTTAATTTGAGACCATCCTATGTGGTTACTATAAGTCTCTGAGTTTGTAAAACCTGCTACACAGGCCTCCCCTGAGCTTGTCAGGTTCAGTATGTGGTCCCATTTTTGTCCCCAGAATCATGGAGAAATGGATTCTAAGTTGTGTTTCCAGAAAAAACTCAAAGCCACCACCTGTAATTAGGCCACCAAGAAAGGTGTGCCCTATCACAACCATGACGCTGCCTGTTGAAACTGGAAGCAGCTGCCACAGCTGCTGACTAGAAACCACACAGGTCAGGAAATTGAACGTCACATGGCCTGCCCCTCCCCCAGGTACCTCAGTTGCAAAGTCAAGGCTTGCATGAATGACCCTAAATCACATGCAGAACCCACTTTCCGGGTAGGCTGGGGAAAGTTTTAACTTTGTAGCTTCTGCAGTAGGAAAAACCCACTGGAAGAGGGTTGAAAGAGATTTTGGGTGTATCATTCATGATGTTTGGCACACCATGTATCAGAAGAATCAAAGTTAAGTGAGATTCCCACTTTTGAAAGTTCCAATTTCTTACTTCATCTCTTTAAAACCCTATACTTACCTAGGGCCATTCTCCATGTCTCTATTGTCTTTTCCTCCATCAGGAGGAAAATCACTGGCCCCTGTCAATGTGGGACAGTTGGTTGGGCGTTGGCCCATGAACTGAGGGGTGGCTGGTTGGATTACCCATCCAGGCCAGGGCATGTGCCTGGGATGCGGGTTCAACCCCTGGTTCATGAGTCCCAGTTGGGCGCGTGCAGAAGGCAACCAATGGATGTTTCTCTCCCTCTCTTACTCCCTCCTTTCCTCTCTCCCTAAAATCAAAAATAAAATAAAATTTAAAACAAGTAAAATCGCTGTAAAAGTGTGTCTTTCTCCATTTCCTTTGCTTTGGTTAAAGTATGTGCCTTTCTATCTACATATTCCTTCTTTTCTTCTTTTAGCTTTTTAATCCTCGCCCATGGCTATGTGATATGTTTATTAATTTTAGATAGAGAGGAAGGGAGAGAGAGAGAAACAGCCATGTGAGAGAGAAACAGCAATCAGTTGCCTCCCTTACCTGCCCAACTGGGGATTGACCCTGTAACCTAGGTCTGTGCCCTGAGCAGAAATCAAACCCACAACCTACGAACACCGCTCTAACCAACTGAGCCACCTAGCCAAGACAGTTTCTATTTATTTTTAATAGTTTCATAATTTACTATCCACAATGTCAGAGCACAAAGCTATTAAATACTTGGTCTCCCTTAGCTATGTCAGTTATTCTTAGTTCCATAGGTTAATATATATTTAGTGGTCAACATCAGTCAGCCCTCATGATGATGTCTCTTCAGTTACTTTTGTTGTCTGAAGATCAGTCTTTAGACTGATCCCCTAGGAAGAGTTCATGGTGACAGTATTTCCTGAATCCTTAAATGTTCATAAAAGCTCTGCCTGCAGAGTTCAGTTTGGCTAACTATAGAATCCTTAGCTCATTTCTTTCCTTGAGTATTTTAACTGTTGTTCCATTATATGGAAAAAAAGAATAAATTATTGTTGAAAAGTCTTTGCTTTACAAATGACGTGCTGCTTGTGCCTTTTCTTTCTCTTTAAAGCTCATTAGTTTTACTAATATAAACCTAATTGAATGTGTCTTGGTGTTATCCATTCCAGACAGATTTTCCTAGGTATGCCATTAAAATATGTAGGTGTAAACTTTATTTTACTTCAGAAATAGTTTCATAAATTAAAAGTTTTAGTATTTGCTTTGAGTTTATTCTTCAGGAGTTTCCCTTATACAGCTGTTGGATTATCTTTGCCTCTTCATATCTTACTTTCTATTCACATCTCTTTCTTCTTAATCCTTTGTATATCACAGGCAGTTTTTAAATGTCCATAGATTCTTTGATCCTCCTTCCTTCAAAGGGTAGAACCTAACTCCCCTCCCCATGAGTGTTGGCTGGACTCACTGACTCACTTCTAATGAATAGACTACGGTGGCATGGATGGGGTGTGACCAGGTCACAGGCTTCTCCTTGCTCTCACTCACAGATCCTGTGCTCTGGGAAGTCAACTGCCATTTTATGAGATCATCTCCAGCAGCCCTATAAAGAGTCCCGCATTGTGTACCTTAGGAGAGGAGGGTAGGTCCGGGCTGCTCCCTTAGCTCAATGGCTTTTCTATTATTATCATAGAATTCAACAGTATTGCCTGTGTTTTTTGGAACTACCTTTTCTATCTCTTTCACTTTCTTTATCTGGATCTTCTCTTGCCATAGTGTCTCTGTGTTGCTCAGTTTAGCTTCTACCCCCATCATAGTCTCCTCTGTGAGGAACTTTGTCCTGGAAAGGAGATTCAGCTGATGAGTTCTGAGATTTAATAGGGCTCAGGCTGTTCCACACCATCTAATCTTTCTTTTAAGTTACTTTTGTTGTCCGAAGATCAGTCTTTAGACTGATCCCCTAGGAAGAGTTCATGGTGACAGTATTTCCTGAATCCTTAAATGTTCATAAAAGCTCTGCCTGCAGAGCTGCAGAATAACTGCCTGCCATCACCCTTAGAATGTCCTTCCAGCTCTGGCATTGTTCCCAAAAAACTCCATTAGCTTTCTATGCTGACTGGGGACATTTACTTGGATTTTGGGGTAAGTATCTTTGACAGTTTGACTATGAGTTTGCTGGCATTCAATGCACTAGAAGACCGTTTGCTGGCTTTTTACTTTCTCCTGCCTACTTGCTGATACCATGGGTCTTGTAGCTGTCAGTAAATCAGTCCTCTCTTTGTATTTTGGAATTCACAGAATACCTTATGATTTTTATAGTACACAGCTGTGCATTTGTTGGGGAGGCGGTTATTGATGGAGGATTTGGTAGATTCACAACTACACAATTGCCACTTTAATCTTGCACAGAAACTACCACATCTTCAATTTCTAGACATTCTTTTGTTCTGATTTTTCCCTTTCTTGAGTTTTTTGCTTCATAGTTAATGGACTCTTAACTCTCTAAGTATAATGGTGATTTTAAGAATTCCTTTCTTCTCCCTACTTTGTCCTTATTTTCTCTGAGTCACCTTTTCTTATTGTTTTTGCATCTCATTTTCATGTCAATATCTTTTCTCAACTATCTTGAAATCTTTGGCCCTCCAAGCATATATAGAATTTGACATTATATGGGGAGTTCTGTGTATATATGTAGGACTTGTCAATCAGTCCTACAGAACCAGATTCATTTAGTTAAGGGACTCTCAACAGTTAATATCTGTAGGTCCTTGCTCTTGGGCTGATCAGTGTCCCCTGATATTTCCTCCCATAAACCTCTATTGGGTGGTGGAAGAGGGTAGTTAAGCTTAGTTGCCATTGTGTTCTTAGAGGAACTGAAGGGAGAATGGGGAGGGGTCTTGTGGTTCATTTTATAGACTTTACTTAACCTCCCTTTCCAATAAAGTACTCAAAACATGACTAGTGTCTCTAAGCCCAGATTCTCTGTTTCAACCTGTCCTGAAAAGAATCTTTTTACCTTTTGCTAGGGTGGGGAAAAGGCAGTCTCCTGGTTGTCCTAGCATAAGAAATGGAACTTAATGGTATAACTTACCCATTTTTAATCATCCTGTTTTCAGCTCTACCCTTACTTACCTTCTCCTTAAGAGTTGCCTGGTATAATCATTGATTCAATTACTGGGCCTTTTGGGATTCTAAGTTTGAAAAATTTGTTCCCCCAAGCTTTGCAAGCACTTTACTGTGAAGTCAGTTTAATTCATCCTCATGTTCTAGATTCCAGAATTACGTTGGCATCTATCTAGTTCTCTTTATCCTTACAGATTTCTGAAGTATTTTTTCATCCCTTAATCACTGTTTAAATAGTTTCAAAAGGAGTGGACCTTTTAATCATCCAAGAAGTTCTATTGTCCTTTTAATAAATTCCCTTTCTGCTTAAATTATTTGAGAATGATAGTACTAACTGAAATGTTAGAAAAAGATCTGCAATAATGCATTTTTGGGACAAGAGTTCTGGATAGCACTGAACTCAGCTGTTCAGACGTGTAACTCAAGGCCCCGGATGCCCCCAGTACTTTAGAACTGAGAGACTGAATTCCATTTTTTTATTACCTAGGATTTTTATTTTATACTTATTAAAACCTACTTAGACATATTTAAGCATGGATTTTTAAAATCACACTTGTGTATACATTAAAAGGAAAATAAAAGCAGGAGTTGATTGTTATTCCTAAAACTTCTTTTTATTTAGAGAGGCCTAGTCCTCTGAATCACTTCATATACTTTATAGGTATGTATTTTTTAATTGTAAAAAAAAAAAAGCATGTAAAATTTACTGTCTTAACTCTTTTTAAATCCACAATTCTTAACCATTTTTAAGCATACACTTACACTGTTCTACACCAGGCCTCCAGCACGTTTTCATCGGGCAAAGCGGAAACCGCGCACCCATTAAACAGCTCCCCGTTTCATTTATCCCTCCCCCAGCCCCTGGCAACCGCCATTCTACTTTCTGTTCCTATGAATTTGACTGCTCTAGATACCGCATATAAATAGAATCATGCAGTGTTTGTTTTTTTGTGACTGGCTTATTTCATTTGTATAATGTCCTCATGGTTTGTTCATGTAAGCATGTGCCACGGCTTCCTTCCTTTTTAATGAAGTTTTGTGAAGAAAGAAAAATGCATTTCCCTTTTACAAACAATGAAAATATGATTCCCTCTGAAAGTGGATGAAAAATTCTAAGGCCTTTAAAAGCATTCCTCAAAACTGTTATGTATATATTAAGCCCAAGCCTAAGGGTGGAAAAGAAAGAAAAGGTACTCCTCACTTTTCAAAAATAAATAAAAAAAAACTGCTTAAGTACAAGAGAAACAACATGTCATATATCCAATAAACAAGGATGTTTATTATCCTTGGCGTTTCATGACAAATAGCCTTGCCTATTGATAATACAGTAAATATCAAAAGTAACTACTCAATTAAGATGGCAAAGTTAAAATGACATGTCAGCCATTCGTTTTTCCAAAGGGTTCCCAAGTGAAGGCTTCTGATCCTGGGACATGAGAAAAAAGCTCGGTTTTTAGCTGTTGTGGTCCAGTTGGGATGTTGTGATCTGCAAATTTCCCCATACTGTTTTCAGGGTTTTCCTTCACAAAGTTAAACCCAGTGTTTAGATGAGGGGAAAATAAAAGGCTTGTGTAAGCCAATCTTAAAGCTTGAATTAGCATGGGAAGCCTGAGTGCTTTCTGAAGCTTGTATATAAAGAGGTATTTCCCGAACACGTTTGGAATTTTTTTTTTTAACTAAGTGTGAGCATGGTAACCTCTTCTACTGAACAGTAAGAAATTTTCTGATGCTTTTGCCCTTTGCGCTCAACACATCTGCCTTCCTCATACTTGCTCCTTTTCTGATTCCCTGTTAGCCTCTCTCGTGTTTCACTCTTTCCTACCTTTCTGGTTTGCCCACCTTTCTTTTGGGTCCTCCTCTGTCCCCTCGAGTCCGGTTCAGGGCGTTCCCTGGCTGCCTGGCCCTTCCCATTCTGCTCTGCGGTGGACTCCTCTGCACAGAGAACCTGGCAGGGCCTTGCAGCTGGGTAGGGTTTCACTTGGGTAAACTACCACACCCTGGAGCACCCTCCGGTAGTGTTTTCTTAAGACTTGGGAGCTGGAGTTAGTGAATTAGGAGAGAGAAAGTAAAACATTTACTGGGGTGGCTCTCCGGAGAATGGCTCTGCATAGAACTCTAAAAGGTGAGATAGAGTGAAAATGACCACGGAGGTTAAGGCTCGGGTTGGGGCAAAGGAGAAGGGCTGGTGGGGCCACAGTGGAATCACAATGGGGCAGCGAGGGCTGCAGGTTGTGGCGGGATCCATGAGCTAAAAGTCTTTCTTTCCCAACCAACCCACTGAGGCACCGGTCAGCTACGGGCTGTGGCCTGGAGAAACTGTCCGGTTCTAGTCCTGTGTCTTCAAGGGTAAACCTGGGCTGAGCGGGCCCTGATCTAATTTGGAAAGAAAATTTTAAAAAGAAGGGGATGCCCATTTGCGACTTCTACAACAGTACTCCGGGTGTGGGGAACATTCCATCCCCCAGGTTCTCCAAAAGCCATTCTCAGGAGCTGGGTCCTGCAAAGCCATTTTCAGGAGCCCCTGTGTAAAAATGTTTCCTGAACTGTTCTAGAATATAGTATTACAGAAGACCTAGTTTCTAGGAAGGAAGTCATGAACATTGTCATTTGAAGAACATAAGAACATGGGGCTCTGGCCCAAGAACAGCATCTAAATTCTATTAACAGAACCTGAAATTCCATTTACAGTCTTATCCCTTTAGTTTAAGTCTTTAGCCTTCCCTTAAAATGTAAGCAAATCCCAGGAGGGAAAACAGAGTGACCTCAGGAATCTTTAGCCTTCAACGACACGCGGTCGTCCGCTCACCTCCGCCCTCCCTGCGTACCTTGCTTCCCACAAACCACAGTTCTCTCCTCCCCACCAGTGTCATCATTGGCACTCAGCTCAAGTCAGCAAAGAGCACGAGCTGTGTCTTGTTCTTCACTGAATCTCTTGCATCTTGAATAGTATCTCTGCCATCGTAGGTTCTGTTTAGGGAATGAATGGATCTTTACTGCCAACGTGTTTTAAAGGGCTGGAGTAGAGAAAGTAAAAATGACAGGAGAAAAAGAAGCCGTGTGCAAAGAGGGGAAGGTGGGGTCACTGAAGGCCAACCCCTCTGGGTGACAGTTCTGTGAAGGTTCAGACAGCTTAGCCACATGCTAAATCATCTTTTGTGCGAGGGTGTGTAATTTTTTCCCATTACCACTTAGTCGCCTTATTAAATTGTCTTTTACTAATGTTCTTAGAAGGTAACTCTAATTGACTGATGAAATGTAAAATCCATTGACACATTTGAGGCACTTGCTAAAGGGGTACTTAATGACCTGTATTTCACACGATAAAATAGGGCAAAGTTAAAAACACAAATTTGCTTTGGATTTACACCTGCTACCATCTGTTGGTTCCTGGATCCTAGGTGACATCATTCTTATTTTTATGTTAAACATTACCAGCAATAAAAGCAGAAGGAAAAGGTGGAAATGAAAACTTGTGCAGTAAAGTTCTGATCCACCCAGGCTTGGCAGTCTTATTTTCTTCTCAGAAATCCTAGGAAACAGAAGACAACAAGATATCTCTTTGGGAAAGACCTCCTTAAACTTGAAGATGAGTCAAACAAGCAAGAAAAGTTCCTCAGATGAAGAAACTAAACCCCAGACTTCAGTAGTCAACAAATTCTTCAGAGGCTCAACACTCAGGTCCTCCAAAGCTGAAAGCAGAAAAGAAAGCAATGACCTTAAAATGACTGACTTCCAACCCAGTGGTGAGACACAGAAGCCTGCCCCCTTAGACGCTGGTAAACTTCTGACTGCTGTTACTTCTTTATTTTTTAGAATAATGTTTTCCCCTAAAGAGATCATGGGTTAAACTAAACCTAGGATGAGTTTCGGTCTAAACATGTATTATGTTACTTAAATATTTTAAATAGCTTGTTAATTTTACTTTTAAATTGTTAACAGTACTATAATACTACAGAAAGGTGTGGAGAAAATACCTAATTTCCTTTTGTTCTAACACAAATGATCACTTCTTCAAGATTTATTTTGATCTTTTGTTCATGTGTATGCATTTGTGGTCAGTTAGCCAGTAAACAACCACTGAGTTCCTACTATGTGCCTGCTACTCTATTTTGTAAGTGTACAAAATACAGCCATGAGAAACAGGACCTTGCGTAAAGAAAGCACCAAATGCAGGTACAGTTTCAGCATTGATAAGTGATATGAAGAAAGTAAAGCAAGCTAAGTAGAGAATGATGGGACGGAGGTGTTATTTTAGACAGAGTTGCAGGAAAGGGGTCTCTCACGTGGTGGTGTTGGTTCAGAGATCTGAATAAAGCCAGCTACACAGAATGAATGAGTAAAGCAAGGCACATAGTTATTTGTGGGAATAGCTTTCCAGAAAAAGGGAACTGTGCGTGCAAAGGCCCAAGGTGGGACTGAGCCCGGAGTGTTTGAGAGGCAGTCAGCAAGTCCGGGAGCAGGATGAGAGATGGGAGAGGGACAGTAGAAGTGACAGGTCAGTGAGCTGGCTGGAGGCCAGAACGGGCATGTTTGGCAGTTATAATAGCTTACAAATCCCTCTTGAGTTGAATGAAGCAGTGATCCTACTTCTGGAACATATACTGCTCTCAATTCTTATATTGCTTCATGATGTTCCTGTGCACAATTTTAACAGCTGCATAATATTGTATTAAATGCACCTGCCATAATTACTTGATGAATTCCTTTTTTTTTTTTTTTTGCCCTTCGGTGATTATCTTTGGCTTTCGCTCTTCCTTATTTCCTGCTTCATGGAATTTCAGCTTTCTTTTAAAATATAAAGTCCCAGAACAGAGATTATAAATTTGAGGATTATGAAAATAAATATTGTCAAATCTCTCTCCAAAGATGACATCATATTATTTGGCAATATGATGGCATATACAATGCCATCAATTTATTATTAACTAGATTAAATATATATTGAAAACATTTAAAACTTTTTATGCAAACATACTCAAAAGTATAAAGAACAGTACAAGTCTCCATGGTCACCTCTCTCTAACAATTATTAGCCAGTAGCCAATGTTGTTTCATTTATTTCTACCCTCACTTGCATCACATTATTTGTATTAAATGCCAAAAAAAAAAATAATAACCCGTTAAGTAGGTTAGATGTATTTTAAATATATTTTTGTCAATAGGAAGTTAAAGTCTACTTCTAAAGGAAGACAATTTCTGTCAGAAAATTGTTGGTATTTGTTTTAAAGTGTGGTTTGGAGCTTCAGGAACATGGTTAATGAATACCTGAAACCATGATTAAGTCAACAGTGCAAGACCTGGCAGCTGGTTATTCCTGTTCGTAAACACTGGCCACTCCAGCCAGTCTCAGCTTCTTTATTTCCATTCTCTCAAAATTCAGTGGCGTCTGGAGTCATGTTAATTCTGCCTCCTAAATGGCTCCTGAACCTGGGTCATCCTCTCCATTGCTATTCTGGTTCTCATCTCTTGTTTGGACCACTGGCAAGGCTTCCTAACTGGTTCCTCTGTTTCTAGTCTTGCTCGCTTGCCAACCTGCCCTCCCCACTGCCACCAGCTGCTCTTTCTAAACACAGGTGTGACGGTGTCTCTCACTTGCTCGCCCTCTTGCCTTGAAGAGAAAGTCTATATTCCCAGGAATGGCCTTCAAGGTGTTCGTGATCAGTTAGCTCTCTCGCCACGACTTCTGCCTCCCCCAGCCTCACGTTCATCCGCCACTCCTGACTTCCGGATTCACTTCCATGTGTCCCCCAAGTGGGACGCCTAGACAGACCTTCTCCTGCGTCACCATTCTCCCTCTGCGCCCCTCCCCTGCCCACCCTTCCCTCACATCTACCCACCTAGAGGGCCACCATTGGTCCTCTAAGGTGATAATCATGCACCACTTTCTCTTGGAAGCTTGCCAAGACCCACCCACCAGACCAGAGGTACTTACTGTCACTACTGTGTTCTACCCTGCACCCTCTGCATGCTTCCACCGTTGCACTTCTCTCCATTGTGACTGGGGCTTTCTCGTCCTTCCATTAGACCGGTAGCTCCTTGAACACAGGAACTTGTGATCTTGTTACAAACATGGAATATCGTGTTTTATGAAAACATTGGAATTCTTGGTCATAAACAACAGAAACCAATACAGATTTAAGCTGGAAAATAACTTAATGAGAAGATACCCTTTAGCTCACAGAATCGCCTGCGTGGAGACGCAAGAGCTTGGTTCAGCTGCGAAGCAGCGGGAAAGGGCCCCAGTCACTCCCGGACTGCTCAGGTGTGATCACGTTGGCTTCGTGCTCTGCCCCCGACCATGGGAAGCCAGGCCCCCCTGCTCAGCCGATCCACTTCAGCTGACCTGTAGCAGCTCTGACTCACCAGTGTTACATGTTGAGCTGTGACGTAAGATATTCTTCCAAGAAAGGGTTTCACAGATTTTTAAAAAGATGGATGGTCAGTGAAGAGATGTCCATGGGTCTCATAAGCGGGTACTCACGTTCATATGCTGGGGTTTTGAGAAAGATTTATCATGATGATTTATTTTGGTAACTAAGAAACTGTAAAGCTAATAGTCATCCATTCACTCACTCACTCATTCAATTATTTGTTCATTCCACCCATATTTACCAAGTACCTCTCATGTAAAAAGACTGCAGAGCTCCATCTCTCTGGGAGGCCCCAGTAAATTTAAGTTGCTATACTCCTGAGAAAGGAACTGGGTGGGAATTACAGTCTTCATTTTACAGATGTATAAGCCAAGGCTCAGAGAAGTTAAATGACTTTCTCATCCAGTGGATCCACGATTTCAACCAGACCTTCCAACTATGTTGTCTTGGACTTGCCAGTGGTATCCAACATTACAGAGCACCCAAGCTGGGTGTGGTCTGAGAAGAGGTTTCTGAATTTGTCAATTGGTAGGTCGGTGTTGGTGCATTTTGAGAACCAGCTTACTTGGATAGGCGAGTGTGGCAACCAGCATGTAGTGGGTTAATTGGTAAACATGATGAAGAAGAGGGAGGAGCAAGTATAAATCATCCTTTCCAAACATTTGAGAAAATGATTGACAAGACAGTGGTTTGAGGAGAAAACAAAGAGAAAGAATTTGTGGGGTTGGAACTTGAGCATGATGGTAGGTTGAGCCTATAGAGATAAAAAAGCAATAGGATACCATGCACAGAAATTTTTTTAAACACAAAAAATTTAAAACAGCCACGTAATGGGCTTTGGAGCAGGCTGTCCTGAGTTCTAATTCTGACTCTGCTACTTAGTTATACACAGAGTCTCAGTTTCCAAATCTATGAAATAGTACAACTGTGACTCCTTGCATTAAGTTTAAATAGAATGCTCCGTACTCACTGGCTTTGTAAAAGACGGTCCTCCCCCATCTCCCATCTTCTGCTCTCCCCTCTTCCACCCAAAATTAGGGTTGCTGGGTAAAGTAAGTGCAATATTTGGGACATGCTTTTACTAAACTATTCCTTGTTTCCCTGAAGTTTAAATTTAATTGGACGTGCTGTTTTTTTCCCTAAATCTGGCAACCCTACCCAAAATAAAATACCTTGTATCCACATGCCGTGATAAAAAAAATTGAAGGCCCTAGAAAAAAGTAAAATAGTGGAAGGCGCTGCCCCCTGCTGGTGGAATGTGACAACGTCAACCATTCCGGCAAAGATGTACATCCTACAGGTGGCTTTCTTAAAAATAACAAGTCTCAAGACACCTTGTGGAGAAATAGAGTTTTTATTATCCTTGCTAATATTGTAGTCTAAATTTATTACTACTGTAATCCTACTATATTTTAATGTTCACTGGTACCAATATACTCATATATGTACCTATTTTTAGCTATGTAGTTGTATGCTTTTTTTTTTGGTCAGGATTAGTAGAATATTACTGAACATTCGTAACTTAAGTTTTCCTACTGGATTCCAGCATACTCTTTGTCTATGTTTTAAGTTGTACATTTTCACTCACAAAATCTCTTTAAAGTCACTGTCAGTACATGCATACTCATTTTTCCGTACAAAAGCATCATGTGTTTTACATGTGTCTTAAATGCTGACACACACAGTAGGTGTAGTACTGGTACATAATAGGTGCTCAGTAAAATTATAGCTTTTTTTAAAATCACTTTAGTGATATCATGTTAGTATTGTGTTATTACAGAGGAACTTGGTAGTAAGTAGTTCCTAATTACAAGAAGGACAAATGAGCCTTTCTGAATGTACTTTCTGGCAGGGGCTCAGAAAATACAAAGCTTCCCCCTACACTAGGCTCTCAGGATTTGTCAATTGAATGGTGGACAAAATGGGCAGCGCGTGTTTCTTTCACTCACTCCCTGTAGCCTCTGAAGCTCATGGGAGGCGATTGCAAGGCTTCCCCTGCTTCACCTGCTTGGTTAGGAGGCAAATATCTGTGCTTCGCTCAGTGGTTGCGTTCACCAGATCTATCTGTGCATCGTTCCAGCAGTGTTCGTCTTAAACGCTGTGCTAACAAGCTTACCTCTTCCTCGGGAGCACAACTCTGTCTACTCGCTGAGATGCCCAGGTCAGGCCGGGAAAGAAAAGCCACCGAGTTTCTTTGGGCTCCTTCCTAAGAAAAGGGTCAGGGGAGTGGTCAGTGTCCAGGGCCCGGAGGCAGGCACAGAGGTTTGGCCCTGGTAAATGCTTCAGGTTCCCCAAGGGACCCTTCAGGGTTGTTGTCAGTCTCCACTTGTTTTATTGTGATCATTATGCATCTTCAGTGCTCTCTGTCATTGACAGCAAATTCTCCTTTATTCTTATGATGTAGCCAAGCCTCTTTCTTCAGAAATGGAACCAGGATGCAGGACGGAGAAAAATGAGCAGTTCCTGCGGAAGCTGGGCAAAAAGGCTGTCGACAGGTGTCTAGATCTGAATAACTGCAGATTAACAACAGCGGACGTGAGGGAGATGGGTCTGTATGCAGTTGACTTGGCACAGAGAGGAACTGGGGGCCTGGAGGTTGACACAAGAAGGCAAAACACAGTTATTATTCACTTGGTACTGAGGTGTGCAGGGTGGCCCCAGACTACTCAGAAACAACAGCTGCACCAGTAATTTAAAAAAAAAAAGTTAATTTATTCTTCTTCAAGCTTCAAAGATTTGAGCTGATGAAGTTCATTTGTTTTTCTGAGCATTTCTACCTCCCTACTGATTTCCTCTGGCTCCCTGAAAAACATCTGTTTCTGTGCATGATATAAGCTCATGAAACTCAGCCGTAAAATGGAAACTTCCTGGGAATTTAAAGGGGTGTTTTGTTGTTTGGTTATCTGTGGAAATAAAAATATAACTACCGGAAATTACTGCTTATACTTTTGTACACAAAAGTATCACTACCCTTTGTTACGGCCAAGCAGGAGTTTAATTGTGAAGAACCCTGTGTCCACACCACCACCGCCACCTTTAACACCTCTTTTTCTCAGAAATTTTGAATCAGTCCTTTGAATCAGTCCTTTGAATCAATCCTTTAATCAAATTAGATGGCCTACCAACAAAGATGTATCAAAAGAACCGCATTTTGAATGAGGAGTCCTTAGCTATTTTAATGAAAATCCATGCCATTATACAGGGTCTGGCACAAATAACACCTTTTTTAATTACAAAATCATAATCATGTAATTCTGTAACATAACAATATCACACTCAAGCACACCATGTGACATTTTAAGTGAAATGTTCAAATTAAAACTATAAATTATTACACTCGTATTATTACCCTATCAACCACACTCACGCAGGTGTTACTCCTGCCGGACCCTGCATTTTGGACAATTCTCTAAGAGGGAATTTGAAGCATGCCTGAGGTTCTCAAATGCCCATATGTCAGAATTATTTGTGGAGCTTGAAGAAATGCACGCACTTGGATCCAACCCAAACCCGCTGAATCGGAGTCTCTGAGAGTGGGCCCCAGGAGCCCTGGTTTTATTTTTTTTTTTCCTTTCTTAATATGTACAATAAACTTAATGCTTTGTAAAGTTAGGATCATCATGAACAAGATGAAATTGCTACCGTGCTTTGAATGCAAGTGAAAAGAAAAACGATTTTTTGGTCTTAAGCAGGGCCTCAGAATTTTGGAAGGTCTGGGGTTGCTGTGCCTGTAGCTATAGAAGCTCAGCCTGCTGTTTCTGACTGCTGCCTCCTTTCTAACATGCACGACAGACGTTTAAAAACAAACATGCTTCACCACCTCTGTGTTGGCACTGTCGCTCAAAACTCTTGTTGCTTTGGAGATAAAGATGGCCTTGGAGCATCTTTTTCACACAGAGTGACTTCTTTTAATGAACATCGTCAGAAACTCAGGGACCTTTCCATTCGGGCTTTGTTCCAGCCTAAATCTCCATATGTTAGTCTACCTAAGTATAACAGCAGCTTTTTAGGGTGGCGCTGCCCAGATAATCAAGACCAAAAAAGAAAAGATAACCGGCCCCTGCAACCTCAGCGGTCTTGGCCCAGAGCAGTCTAGGCCATCAGCCTGCGGATCCAAGAGGATGCTGACCAGGTGGTGGACGTGAGAGGGTTTTACAAAATAAAAGGACCAGTATACCCCTTACAGCCACGCTGGTGGTAGCAGAATTACCATTTCCTCAACAGTCCTCAACAGTATAGAAGGTTCTGTGAAATCTCAGAGACACAGCTGCATTTTCAGAATGATATTATTGGCAAAAATGGAAAATGTCCCAAGAAATAGGAAATGTAAATGTTACAATCTCTACAGTTGCCCGGTGGCGAGCTCCACATGCCCCCTCCCCTTTATCCTCTTACCGTGACACTACATTCTGTGCACATAGGCAATGGGCCCTATTTATGACACATCACAAGTTTCATATGCTAATTTCCATTTTCTTTTGTTCACATCTAGTTGCTTTGCTGCCTTTTCTCCCAGACTTGGAAAAGCTGGACATTTCCTGGAATGATTTCATAGGCGGAACCCTCCATTCAATGACTGAGCCAATGCATCATGTCAACAAGTTAAAAAGCCTGAGGCTGGGTAGCTGCAGACTCACCACCGATGATGTTCGGGCACTGGGTATGACTAGTGCTTCCTGTAAAAGACTTCACTCAAAGCCCCTCTGCAGCATCACCCTCAAGGGCAGACTCTCTGGTCACCACACCCTCGGTGCTCAAGGAGTGTGCTGTGCTTGAGGCAATGTGGTGTTGAGCATTAGCATAACTTCTGAAGAGCTCTATAACCTGTACCTGGCATTGGGCTAATTTCCAGGATAGAGACGGGGACAGGGCTTACCAGGTACCTGCCCTCAGGGGTTTAAATGGAGATAATGTAAAACTTGCTCACTCTGGTCTGTTACCTCATCTGTAAAATACAGGAGTTGGAGTAGATAATTAAATTTTCCTCCCATTCCAAAACAATCTCTTCTATATTTTCCACTTTCATTGTTAAAAAATGATCAAAAGAAGATTTTTCAACTAAAAGAAATGGTTTAAATAGCAGTAGAACCTCAATTAAGTTAGTTTATATGCTGGACATAGAGCAGCAGAATATAGGATAAAATTTGTCATGCTACTAACCCAATACCTTACTAAGATGTTTGCTGGTATTAGATGACAATATTTTAAAATTTTCCTTTGATATGAGGTTTCTTATTTCAATGATATATTTTGATGATTTATATCTCTGCAAAGATTTCTGTAAAAACAACATAATTCATGCCAATGTCTTCTCTCTAATCCCTCCTTACAAAATGGGGGCCAGCTGATGCCCCCAGCCCACCCTTCCTATAGCTGAGGAGAAGCGTCATACATCTCAGGGTTGGCCAGATCCTAGTTCAAATCCTGATCCCACTTCTAACTAGCTTTGTCACCATGGTCAAACTACTTAACATTTTTGAGCCTCACTTTTCTTACCTCTGAAAAAGCGTGATACCCACCTCAAAAAATTAGTAGGAGGATTAAATAAGTAAATAATTTCTGTAAAGTGCCTACTACATACCAGGCACATAATAGGTGCTCAGTAAGCAATAGTTCCTCTTTCCCGGTTCCCTCGTCCAAAATTTCCTTTCTGTGGCTTCACATGAGGAAGTTAGCCCCACTGGTTAGCAGCTGGTTACTGTGTAGCAGAATCCCAAATCTAACACACTGTTACTCAGGCATGAAAATAAGTTAATAAAGTGGTTTCTTTATTTTCTTTGATTAATCCAATCTTTTTCATGACCTTCCATTTCCTTGAATTCCTTGGAAATGGAATTTCTGCCTGGGGACCCACTCTGAACTCACTTGGTCCAAGAGAGAGTAGGCATCTTTGTCACTCTGATGTCCGGTGCCCTTTCCCTTGTCCCTGAGTCTTTCTCCTCTCTGGAAGGATTTCTGTATCTTCTTCCATCAGAAAGGGCTTTCTTTAGCCTTAATGGCAGATTGGGGTACAGGGAGAATAAATGTGGCACTGGTAAGATGACATAAATCAGGAGGCATTGCCCCTCATCACACCCCTACAATTGCTCAGCGCAGGGTGGCCAGTGCATCACACTCCAGTACCGTGAGCAATGCAGACAAGCTAACCAGTCCTATGTCTTTCTCCTAATCCTGATGCTTCAGGTACATAGAAAACCGCCCTGAAGGACTGGCAATGACTCACAAAATGGCACCTGTGTGGGAAGAATGTGGATGTTAACACGGGGATCCTAGACTCCCAGAGCTTTAATCCATTCAATGAATAACCAATGGTAAAGAGACGCTTCTGGAAGCAGGGGGCTTTCCAGCACCTTTCATTGTTCAGGATTAAAGTTGCCTGTGCACGTTGACAAACACATTTTCCACGTGTGGCTCTCCAGCCTGTTCGTCCCACGGTGGTGAAAATCATTTCTAATGATCTCTCCGGTCACTTCCCCTGATCTCTCCCAGCCACGTCTGTGTAACCTGTGGCTTTCCTATCTGAAATAGTTTCAGACATGTCATTTCACCCATTTCTCACCGCACCCTTCTCTACCCACAAAGGCCGAGTGGTTGTTATGAGCTGTTAGTGCCTGACACTCTATTATTAGTTCTTCTCTGTAGTGGCCAGTTCGGTTGTGTGTGAGCTTTTTGACATCAAGTGAGTTTTACCCCCACAGGGGCCAGTGCCTGGCTCTGTCTCATGTCTTCCTCTGGCCAAGCCTCTCAGCAATGCTGCTCCCCGGGAGAGTGGACGAGAGAAAGTAATGGAATAGCACAAATGTTTACTACCCCCCCCCACACACACACACGCAAAATAACAACAACAAAAAAAACACCTCAGTAACAAACACCTCACAGACAAGAGGATTTTTTAAAAATAACTTTGCTCATAAGCATGGCTTCAGAACTTTGGAAGGAGTAGTATACTGTGCTTGTAAATATAGGTGCTCCCCTTGCTGGGAATGGGCAGGGACTGGGGCCTTTGCTTCCCTTTGTTCCTCGGCACCTAACCAGTACCTGGCCAGCTTCAATCCTCCATGGGTAATGGCTGGGTTGGTTTTGAAATGCATTATCCACCTGGTAGACTAGTGATCAATCTTTGGGCCACTTTGTAACAGGAGAAGCTCTGAAAGCGATACCTGACCTTGAAGAGCTGAATTTGTCCTGGAACTGTAAAGTGGGAGGAAACTTGCCTCTGATCCTCCAGAAGTTCCAAGCAGGGGGCAAGATACGAACGCTGGAGCTTGTGGATTGTGCCCTCACATCAGAAGATGGAACATTTGTGGGTACGTGGAATTTGGCAGAGTCTTTAAAAAAAAAAAAAGTGAAGATGCCCATGATTGGGTAACTTGGGAATCAAAATTGGCTGTGTTTTCCCTCACCCTGAATTGAAAGAGTGGCTCACTCTGTTCCCAAGACCCACAAGGCTTCAATTCCCTCCTGCCTGCCCCAACCCCCATGCCTGCATTTTTACTGAGTTGCTCCTTTGTTTGAATTTCCTTCCTTCCAGGTCAGTTGCTGCCTATGCTGCAAAGTCTTGAAGTGCTTGACCTTTCCATTAACAGAAACATCGGTGACAGTCTAAACAGTATTGCTCAGGGATTAAAAAGCACCTCAAATCTGAAAGTATTGAGGTTACAGTCCTGTGGATTATCACAAAAGAGTGTCACATTATTGGGTAAGTTAGCAATGGCTGAAGTTTATATACATATATAATTTTATGTTTTTATATGTACATATATTATTTTATATTTTTATGTTTTTATAATTTTAATATAAAATCTAAACAGTGGTTATGTTGAGGAATAAGATTATGGGTAATTTAAATCTTCTTTATTTTTTTTCTTTTACAGTGAGCATATACTTTCATGACTACAAAAATAAACTTTTAAAATGGCTGAATCTGAAAAAGCCAGGATATTTTAGGTTTAAGATAGATACTGCACAAGTTTCTGTGCTAGTAAAGCACTTCCTTTTTCTCCTACTTTTGAAAATGTCAGCATTATGTTATGCTCAGTAGTAAGTAGGAACTGGTACTGATAAAAAGAATGGCTTCCACGGTATCGAGAGTTAAAACTTATTTCTCAGTATACAGCATCCACGTTAAGGGAAAATATGAAATGAAACTGAGCTTTTCCTTTGACTTACAGAACCTGTAATATCCTTCTCCCTGGCAGTCTGAGTAAGTCTAGAATTTTGTGAAAACGCTGAAGCTCAAGTGGAGTAGGGGACCCATTGTATGTTTGAAGTCGTTGTCAAGTCCAAAGAGGGCAGGATGGTAGGGAGTCTGCAGTCTACAGTTATTCCTCCATCCTGGCATTTTTTTGATGTATGTCCTCAGCCTCCCTTTGGCACACATGTCCCCCGCCCCGCCCCCCCGACATGCCTGCCTTCCACTTTATAATATGTCAGAACAGGATTTTGACTTTCTTCATAGATGCTGCTTTTACAAACTTGGGTGAGCTGAGGGAACTCGACCTTTCCTGTAACAAGGAGCTGGGTGGAGGTTTTGAAGACTTGCCAGCTCAGCTGGCCATGCTGGAGTGCCTGGAAGTCCTGGATCTTCACCAGTGCTCACTAACAGCAGGCGACGTGGTGTCACTGAGTAAGTATGTGCCACAGAGCCAAGGAAGGACTTTGGAGCCTTGACATATGTTTGGAAACTTGGCAAATTTGAGATATACCCTTAAACTTACTATTTATGAAGTTACTGGGAGGCTCAAATCATAAAAGGTCTGTGAATTCCCCGGTATAGTATTTGGCATGTATTAAATACCCAGTAGATGTTAGTGAATCTAAAGTCCTCCTATATATGTCTGTAAATGATAAGCATGACACTTGACAAACATTTTGGATTTATGTTACTGTTTAGAAACAAATGTTAGTGTCACCAAGTTTATTACAGAAAGGGGTACAGAGAAAAAGCGAAAACAAACAGTATTGAGGCTTTCAGACAAATAAGTAAGCTAAGTCACTTGGATACAAATGAACTTACAGAATAAGCCAGCAGGGTGGTGCATAACAGGTGTACATTACAATCCTAGGTAATACACTTGCTTTCTACCCCAGACATAGTTCTGTTATTACTACGACATGTAAGGTATAAATGTACTTCCTATACCACATGACAAGCATAGCCTTGAGATTAAAGGTTTTATTCCATCTGTAATCACAACAAACCTTCAAAATACATCCAAAATCTGATCACAGCTCACCATCTAGCCCTCTGCTACCCAGGCTTGGGCCACGGTCATCTCATGCCTAGATTATCACAAAGGTTCAAATGGTCTCCCTCTTTCTCTGTCACTCTGATTTCATTCTCTGCCCTTTCCCCTCATTGGCACTACTCCGGCCGCAGATGCTCATGCATACCAGCCGTGCTCCGTCCTTTGCCCTTGAACGCTTCAGATCGTGGGCTCCCCCTGGGTAGGGGTGCGTCACCTTCAGCATCTCCCCTTTGCTCGGACACAGGGGCTTGCACATAGGTGGCACTCAGTAAATGTTAGTGGGGTATGTGATTGAATAAATGAATGACTCACGAACAAGAACAAAAAGAATTTTTTCGTACAATTTGGGGAGGAAAACAGTAAAATAGGTTTTTAGGTCTAACATTTATCTTTTAGACCTGCTTAGTTATTTCTTAGGCTCTTATTCCTCATTTTTGAAACATGAGAGTTCAAGCCTTGAAGATTTTAAAGTAACAAAACAACCCCTTTTTGAGCTCCAGGTAGAGCTTTATGCGATATAACCATCCCCTCTGCTGATGAGTGTCTTACCTGGGACAGACACTCCTTAGTCATCAGTCCATCAGATTCCAAATAATACATTTCCTTTGGCACAGCTGAACAATATGAATATCACATCTCGTGTTGTTGCTCAGGGGAAGATTAAACTGCTAGAGGACCTCAGCTGCTACGACTAACATAGCAGAGGGATTAGCCTCTCTCATCTAGATTCGCAGCCACCAACACGGGTGAATGGCCCTGGAAAACTACGGATTGTTTAAAAGATGTAGCAGATTACATTGTTCTCCTTCTGCTTAATTTTGAAAAAAATGGAAATAAAATTCATCTTGTACTAAATACAAAGTATTTTATGATGTTAAATAATTGAGCGTTCTTTTTCATTGATTTTAGAGAGTGAGAAAGAGAAACATCAAGTTTTTATTCCATTTATTTAGGTATTCATTCGTTGATTCTCATGTGTGCTCTGACCAGGAATCGAACCCACAACCTTTGTGTGTGGGGACAATGCTTTAACCAACTAAGCTACCTGGCCAAGTCTGTGTTCTTTTCTTTCTTTTTTTTTAAATTAAGCATTCATTTATCTAATCATTCTAGACAGCTCCAAAGAAATGGATTTGTATATCATTTAGCCAACAACTGTGTTGTGGGCTTAGGAAAATTCACGGTCAAGGAACTTCAGTCTGATAGGGGCAGTAATAAACCAATAAATATCCAAGTTACACAGTGAACTACAAAGTGCTGTGGAGGTTCAAAGAGGGAGTAATTGTTACATCTGTTGGGATCACAGGTGCTTGCCTTCCCTTCATCTTTCTTTCTCCTGTGCTCCTTCCTTCCTTATATAATTTAGAATTTTGTATTTATTTGTTTGGTTTGTGCCTCCAATGTCCCAGGTCTCAATCTACACTCTGGGGATGAAGCATTTCCTACACACAGAAATCACTTTCAGTGAGCGGAGACAGAAGACAAACACACAAACAAAAACATCACATAATAGGGGTGCTGTGAGGAAAATAAATTAGGGCGATGTGACAGTGACCAAGATGTCAGTGTGACCAGGGCGTAGGTGGCCTGGAAGGCTCTGAGGTGAGCCAGCTCCACAGAGATCCCAGGATACCACATTTTCACATTGCAGGGCCGTCAGGGTCTAATCCAGTGCTGTCACCAATGGACATCTGTTGTGATTGCTCGATGTTATTGCCTTCCTAGTACTTATATTTTGCAAAAAGAATGATAATATTGACCATTAATCGAGCAGTTGGTGAGTGCCAGGCACTGTACTGAGCACTTTAGATGTACCAAATTGTTGAATCTTCCCAGTGGCCCTGTGAAGTAGAATTGCTATTATTGTTATTGAGAAAACTGAAGTTCAGACATGTTAAGTAGCTTGTCCAAAATCACACAGTTCTTCAGTAGCAGAGCCAGGAGTAGAGCCCAGTTCTCTGTGTCCAAATCTTCGGAGAGGGGTTTGGAAGTGGGAGAGCCCAGGCTCCATGCTGGGAAGAGTGGCTGGGCTGTGCGTTAAGTGTGTCAGGGAGCGTGGGGCTTGCCAATCCAGGAGACTGTGGGAACCAAGCACCCAGAGACTCTCTGTGAGACGGTGCCTAAAACATGTTGCTGCTGTTATTTCAACAGCCCAGGTTATCCCTTTATTCTCGAGTCTTCAAGAATTGGATTTATCTGCCAACAAAAAGATGGGCAGCTCTTCTGAAAATCTACTCAGCAGGCTCCGATTTTTACCAGCACTGAAGTCATTACAAATCAACAACTGTGCTTTGGAAAGGGAGACTTTCTCCGCCCTCGGTAAGAAAATTCCCCGGGAAGCATAGTATAGTAACACCTGGGAAGGGAAAGGTCGGAAGGTGGGGAGGGGGGCGGAAAAAAAAATCCCTCTTTCCCTACAGGTGAACTTTGTTATTCCAAGTGTCAGCCATAGGCAAAGGTGTAAACTATTTTGTCTTCTTTTCAGAAAATATGCTTTCTTAAAAGTGACATTCTGAAGGGCACATGAATAACTCTGGCATTTGCACATTTAACATTTAAAATTTCAAGGGTATATAACCAAGTCTGGAGGTCCATGCCCTCAGTAACTTGTGATTTCAGTGAGGCACCAGTATAAATTGGGATTGCTGTCTGATGGGAAAAGGGAGGCAACTGCGAGCCTGTGGGCCTCGCTGACTGTCTAGCACCCACTTCCCAGCAGCACTGGTTGTCCTCTCTCAGGACCCTGGGAAGGCCTCGAGGTTGTGGATACAGCCCAGCCTACATCAGGGGTGTACTGAATCTGACATTTCTGCCTTTTTGAGGGCAAGGGCATTGCCAGCAAGTAGAGGGAGGCAAAGGGATTTTGCAATATTAACCCAAATATACCATCCAGTCAGCCAGCAATTTGGGCACGTGGTACCTGGTGTGGGGTCCCCAATACCTGGCTCAGAGATTTGCTAGGACTCAGAGGTCTCAGGACATAGTCATACTCATGTTGAGATTTATTGCAATGACAGGATACAAAGCAAAATCAGCTAAGGGAAAGGTGCATGGGGCGAAGTCCTGGGAAACCAAGCACAACCTTCCAAGAGTCTGCTGCCAATGAATCACACAGGACACGCTCCTTTCCTCCCAAGTGTTGTGATAACACATGTGAAATATCTAGCAGCGAGGCTCTCCTGACACACTCAAGTGTAGGGTTTTATTGGGGGTTGGTCACCCAGGCACCCTCTATCCAACACATACCAACATTCCAGACTCACAGAAGGCAAGCCGGCATCCCGCATAAATCACATTACTTGTACACAAACACTGTAGGCACAGTGAACCACCCTTATCAATCAGGGAATGGTGGGAACGCTTCCAAATGAAGATGCCAGCTGTCAGCCGAGGGCCCAGCTTGCAAGCAGGCCTTCCGAAGGAGAGAAGTCTCAGGCCTGGTAGGTTAACTTTCTCTTGCACACACGCACAAGACTAGAGGTTGGATGAATTCTTGTGCCTCCTGGAATACAAGAAAAAATAAAATTCTCTTCTCTGAACTTCCAAGTGTTATGTCAGGTGGCACTTCCTTAAAAATGAATTGTACTATGGACCAGACAAAGGCTATTATTAATGAAATAAATGTATTCTATTAATAAGTAGCTATTATTCATATCTGTTGCTAGAAATAAATGCATATTTATAATTTCTCCCAAATTCTAAGAACTCTATATTTAGGGTACTCTTGCCCCAACTTTTCAGCCCAAGTATTTTGTTTGGCTCACATAGACTTGATCCTTGCCATGTACTGCTCCAAACATTGCTCATATAATTATCCATGTGTCTGGATGAGGACAACTGGCATATATGTACCTTTCAGACCTGGAGTTCTTAATCTGGGGACCATGGACCACCTGCCCCCCAGCTCAGAGAGTCAGTCTATTGTTATGCTTGGGGTAGGGGGCTGTGTGATTCCCTAAAATTGATTGTAGTTATTTTGTGGGAGGTATATGGTACATTTTCTGGCTCCAAAGCCCCTGGAATCAGACTGCCTAAAATCAAATCCTCCCTCTGGCTCTTATGACCAGAAGTACTGAACATCTTGTGCTTTGATTTCTTTGTCTGTAAAATGTAAAATGAAATAATAGTATCTTGTCATGTGGGATTGTAAGAATTAAATGGGTTAATACATGTAAAGTTCATAGAAAGGTGCCTGGCACATAGTAAATGTTTAATAAATGTTCATTGTTAATATTATTATGGAGAGAGAGAATCTATAAATTCTATTTAAAAAATAAACTGAACCTTATCACTACCAGTTAAAAAATGGATCTTATCACTACCCAGTACTGCCTATAAAACCTCCAGTAAAATTCAAATTCCTTCACATGCGCTAAAGGATCCACGTGATCTGGCCCCCAGGACCTCTCTGCCACGCTCCCTCTTATTCCCCAAACCCAGCCTCAGTTGGCTTCTTTTGGTTCCTCATGTCACTGAGCTCTCTCTTACCTCCAGGCCTTCTTGGTCCCCGGAATTCCCTACCCTCCACTCTTTCCTGGGGAGCTCTGACTTCAGGTTTCATAAACATCCCCTTCTAAAATAGCCCCTCCTTATCTAATTAGAAGCCCTTATGCCTTCTTTATAGCCTTTATCAGAATTAATCACTATGTATATATTTGTCTGTTTTTTTTAATGTCCAAAGTTCTCCCAGATTGTAATCTTTGAGGGCAAGGATTGTGTTTATTTTTCACTGCATACCCAAAGCATATTTTAGATATTTTTACATATTAAGTAAGTAGATAGATAGGTAGACGGACAGACAGATTAACTGCTCAAAGGGGTCAAATGGTTAGGTAAATGTGCGCGCGCATGTACTACATTCCACTGCTCCGAGCAATGTTTAGTTAGAAAAGTTCCACAAAAAATAAATTTGGGGACAACATGATGTTTTATAAATACTCTTCCTAGTGAGAAACTGTTGAATTTTGTTTTTAATTTTGTGTCTTCTGTAGAAGACACAGCTCTTTCCAATTATAGCTGCCAAATCAATGGATCATAATCAAGTAGATATTACACTAAACTATCTCATCTAACACAAATCTATCGTGCAGTCTTAAATTCAATATAAATTAAGATGAAGTTATATGTATTGCTCTACATCACTTTTAGAAGAAAATATTCCACTTCTTACTGAGAGGTCTCTGTACCATATGACTTGGAGGGGCTTTCTTACTAGATACTATAAAAGAATATGTATTTCCTCTTGAACATAATTTATTTCTTTAGAAAGAATACAAAAAGAATGAACTTTAAAATGTAATTAACTACTTACCTTGTGAATAGGTTGTTCTGATCAATTTTAATGTTAGGGGAAACTAAGAATTAAACAGAAAATTCTTTGAATACCTTTCCAAATATGTGATTTCCCTTCCTCTTCCCTGTTACTACAGTTAAGCAAGCACAGACACAGTCTGGTGTTGCAGAGTCCTAGAGAGCTTCGACCCCATCTCTGACTTTCAGCAGTGACTTCACAGTGGACCATGTAAAACCAGAGCACTGGTGGAAATCTTGACTAACTGCCCAAAGTCTTTGCCTCTTTCTCCTTCTTAAGTGTGAAGTAAAGGAAAGAAATCCCAGGAGATAGTGAATTCCATTTAATCAAGTTTTACTTTTCTACAGTTTCCAACATCTCTCCCAAATTAAAATAGACAACATAAATGGAAGCCATGAATTTCAGGCAGGACGAGAACCATCTCTACTTTCTGAGAGACGGTTCCGAGTACTTTCCGAGAACTTTCCGAATGTCAGTTATGTTGACATGTTGCTGTAGCCTAGGGTCCTCAGATTCAAGGCTTATGACCTCGAAGGAAGCCTAAATTATTGCTAATCTTATTGCTCTCATTTTAGCTGAAGCCTCCATTCACCTCCCTGCTCTGGAAGTGTTCAACCTTTCTTGGAATAAGTGTGTTGGTGGCAACCTGAAGCTGCTTCTGGAAACACTAAAGCTTTCAATGTCCCTTCAAGTGCTGAGGCTGAGCAGCTGTTCCCTTGTGACGGAGGACATGGCTCTCCTGGGTTGGTATCTATGGGTTCCAAAGTGGTCCTGGCATGCGGAGCCCAATAATGCCTGCCCAGCACAGCCAGGGGCAGGCGGGTGGAGAAGGCAGAGAGGCCTGGGGCTCTCTTTGAGCTTCTCTTCTCCCGACACCTGCTTAGGAGAGAGCTCATTAAAACAAATGAGAGCAGTTCTAAAACCAGAGAAACAGTAGAGGATATTTCATTAAAAAAAAAAAAAAGGTAGATACAGATGTGGTGGTAGGAGATTCCTGCCAGGCCAGTAGCTCCACACCTCCCCATAAATGAGAGCCTTCAGTGTTCTTTTCCAATTCAGTGTTAGCCAAACTTCAGTCATCTATATCCTACCTCTACAAATTTTGCCTTATCCATATGGTACCTGCACTATTACTTATTTTTTTCTTTATATTGACTCTTTAACTTAAATGCTTTTATTTAAACAGGAAACCAATCATAACTCATAGATAGACATTATGAGACTGTTGCCAGCTGAAGGCTTTGAGTGGAGGGTCTTTCACTCTGTTAGAAAAAGAGGAGGGATTAAAAGCATTCTGTAGCACCAATTGGACACTTTCTCCATGTCAATTTAGAAAGATGGAAAGAGGATTGAATAAGGAACAACTTTTGCACTGTGGGATTCCTGGCCCTACAATACTTAACCAAATATCCTCTGAAAGCACCTCTACATGTCCACCTTCCACTGGGAAACAGTGAATTAGAAAGTACATCTGCCCCTGTCTACCCTCATCTCCCCACAGGATCGGCCTGTCACTGTTCAGCCACCAGCAGCCAGTCTCTGAAGCGGTGAGGCCTCCAAATAAAGGGTCCAGAACAATCCCTGCAGCTAGTTGCACCTCTGTCCCCTCCAAATAAAGGGTCTAGAACAATCCCTTCAGCTAGTTGCACCTCTGTCCTCTGTGTATATAGTCAGTTCTGCGCTAACGTGACATGTGTGCCTAAAAAATCATGCACTATGCAAAAATCATGCAATAATAACCACAGGGCTTATGATTAGAAGCACAACACTCAGGAGACTTCATCAGTGACACATTTTTTAAAATAGGCAACTAATAAACATGGTAATAAGGTTTATCTGTGTAAAAAGGTCAAGAAATACATAACTACTACAGCAAATGGGGCATTTTATCTTGAAAAAGAATTAAGGTTTGTGGGAGTGGGCACTCCCACTGGCTTCCCTCTCTGTCCCATATCGAACAGCCTGTATGCTAGAGGAAAAGAACAAAGAGAGACAGGGAAAGAGGGAGAGAAAGAGAATAGAGAAGAGCAAGACAAAACTGGCTGAGAGGAAGGGGGAAATAGAAGAGGCAAAAGTTCAGGACTGCACAGCCCTGGGTTGCAGCTTGTGAGTTATTTTAAGTGGTGGACGAAGGATTATCTGACCGTCGTATAGAAAGTTTGAACCCGGATATGGGTGGGTGAGGCTCATTTTCCTTGTGAAATGTGTGTGGGTGTGGGGATTTTGTTTACACCTGACTTGGCACAGCTGGGTACAGTTTTGTGTGTTCAGTTCATGTTTCCTCTGGACGAATTGCACATAAGCAAACAAAAAATTTGTGTTATGCTCCTATTGTTTTCTGATATTTCAATCTAGTTGGGACAAATTTGTTTTCAAAACAAATTCTAAGGCAAAATATTATAATTAGAAGGTGGGGACAAAGCATTGTGACTTTAATTTTCATTTCCCTATTGACTAATGATAGTGAGCATTGTTAAATGTAAGTATTTGTCAACTGTATGTATTCTTTGGTCTAGTATCTGTTCTAATCTTTTGCCTACATTTAAAAATTGGATCGATGACTTCTTTAGATTTCACAAGTCCTTTGTCAGATCTGTACTTTGCAGATGTTTTCTCTAATTCTGTAGCTTGTCTTCTCATTCTCTTGGCAGTATCTTGCAAAGAAAAACTTTCCATTCTGATGAAGACTATCGAATTGTTAATTTGATGAATAGAGCTTTCTGTGTTGCATCTTAAGAGATTTTGCAAAACACAAGTTCTCAGGGAATTTTCCTATATTTTCTTCTACAAGTTATATATTTGCATTTTGACTTGTTATTCAGAGTTATTTTAGTACAAGGTATAAGATATGGACCAAAGTTGTTTTTACATATGACTGCTCAATTATTTGAGCAACATTAGTTGAAAAGATTACCTTTTGTTCATTGAATTGCCATTATATTTTTGTCAAAAATCAATTTGCCATATCTGTGAGGGTCTATTTCTTGTCTGTCTAGTCTCTTCCATTGATCTACATATCAACTGTTTTGCCAATACCACAGTGTCTTGATTACTGAAGCGTTATATTAAGACTTGAAATTAGGTAGTATGAGTATTCTGACTTTGTTCTTTTGCAAAACTGTTTTGGTTATTCTAGTTCTTTGACATTTCCATATAAATTTTAGAATCAGCTTATCAATATCTGCAAAAATTACTGCTGCCATTTTGATTGGGATTGCATTGAGTCTATAGATAAATTTGGGGAGAAATGACATCTTCACTATAATGGGCATTCCAGCTTATGAACACAGTGTAACTCTTTATTTAGGTCCTTTTTGATTTATTTCATTGGTGTTTTGGAGTTTCTATGATACAGATCGTGTGCATATTTTGTTAAATTTATGTCTGAGTATTTCATTTTTTAATAAAGGTACTATTTAAAAAGGTAATATTTTAGAATCTTGACTCCCACTTGGTCATCGACATAGTACATACCTAGATATGCAATTGATTTTTGTATATTGACATTTTCTACTGCAGCCTTGCTAAGCTCATCTATTAATTCTAGGATTTTTTTTGGTAGATACTATAGGATTTTCTACCTGTCTTCTATAATTAGAGTCAGTTTTACCTCTTCTTTTCCAGTCTTTATATCATTTGTTCCTTTTTCCTGGTTATTTAATGGTCTAGAATTTCCAGTAGATATTGAATGTAATGAGAGCAGACATTTGTTCCCAATATTAGGGGAAAGGATTTAGCCTCTCACCACTAAGTGTATCATTGCTACAGGTTTTTAAATAGATGTGCCCTTATCAAATAAAGGAATCCTAATCTAGCAAGAGTTCTTATAATGAGTTAAAGCTAAATCTTGCCATGACCAGTGTGGCTCAGTTGGTTGGACATCGTCCAGCAAAGTGAAAGTTCCTGGGATCAATTTCCAGTCAGGGCACAAGCCTGAGTTGTGGCTTTGGTCCCTCATTGGAGTGCATGCAATAGGCAACCGATCAATGTGTCTCTCTCTCTCTGTCTCCCTCCCTCCCTCGTCTCTAAAAATAAATAAAATCTAAATAAATTTTTAAAAAGATAAACCTTATTAAATGACTTTTTTGCATCTATTGAGATTTTTTTCCCTTTAGTTTGTTATGATGGTAAATAAAAATAATTAATTTTCAAATGTTAAATCAGCCTTATGTTTCTAGTATAAGCCCCACTTGGTTGTATTATCTTTTTTTATATATTTGTTGAGGATGTGGCTGTATTCATGAGAAATGATGGTCTAATCATTTCCTTGTAATGTCTTTGTGTGGCTTTGGTATCAGGGTAATGATGCCCCATAAAATGAGTTGGCAAGTATTCCTGTCTCTTTTATCTCCCTGAAATATTATGTAGAATTGGTATTATTTTTTTCCTTAACTCTTTCACAGAACTCTCCCTTGAACCTGTCTAAACTTGGAGTTTTCTTTGTGGGAAGTTTTAAATTAAAAATTCAATATAAAAAATAGAACCATGACCAGTGTGTCTCAGTTGCTTAGAGTGTGATCCTGTAAACCAAAAGATTTCAGGTTCAATTCCTGGTCAGGGCATGTATGAGAGAACTGGTGGATGTTTCTCTTTCACATCAATGTTTCTTTCTCTCTGTCTCTTCTTTTCTCTCTCTCTAAAAGCAATGAAAAAAATGTCCTCAGGTGAGGATAAAAAAATTTTAAAAATAGATACAGGACTATTTAAGTTATCTCTTTCTTCTTAAGCAAACTTTGGTAATTCATGTCTTTCAAGGAATTGACCCATTTCAACTAGGTTGTTGAATTTATGGAAACAAAATTGTTCTTTTATTATACTTTTAATGTCTGTAGGATACCCCCTCTCACATTCCTGATATTGGTGGTTTGTGGTTGTTTTCTATTTCTCTTTTCTTAGCTACTCTGACTAAAGGCATAATTAGTTTTATGTTGCAGTGCAACAAACTAATTTGTGGCTTAAAAACCATACCCATTTATTTGCTCAGAGTTCGGTAGGTTAGAAGCCTGGCACAGCTTGTCTGGGTTCTCCAGTTGGGGAATCAAAAGGCTGAAATCAAGGTGCTAGCCAGGCTGAGTTCTCATCTGAAGGCAGAGGATGAATCCACTCTCAAGATCATTCTTATTTCTGGCAGAATTCAGTTCCTTGAAGCTGCAGGACTAAGGTTCCTGTTTTCTTGCTGGTTCTCTGATACAAGAGACTACCCACATTCCTCAAGACATGGCCCCTGATCTTCAAGAAGCAATAGGGTGTCAGTGCTTCTCACACTTGAAATCTTTCTGACCTTTTCTGTGACCTCCTTTCTCTCCTGCTACCAGCCGGAGAAATGTCTTTGCTTTTAAAGAGCTCATGTCGTTAAGTTAAACCCACTGGATAATCTGCATTTCTTAAAATGAACTGTGCCATGTAACATAACCTAATCATGGGAGTGAAGTCCATTATATTCCCTGCCCTGGAGATTAGAGTGTAAGTCTTGGGGTCCCTTGAATTCTGACAACCATGAGAGGTTATCACTGTTAGCAACGTTTTCAAAGAATTAGCTTTCAGTTTTATTTTTTATTTTTGTGCTTGAATTGGACACCATTAAACATACATAAGTTATTTCATTTAAAGCCTATAATTAAAGTTTACTTCTTCAATTTTTTTTGTCTGCATCAAATTTTATTCATCATAGCTCAGCCATTAAATGCTTTTTAATTTTTACTACCGTCTTTTTTCTCAGATCAAATTTAAACTTTTACATTTTGTCAAGGGAATTTTTCCTTTCAATTTTTACTCAGTAATATGTATTACTTACTATGTGTGGTTTTCACCATAGTCACTTTTATATTGCTTTTATTATTTCTACCAGAAACATTCTTTAAGATTTTTCAATCACTAGTAGCTTATTTTTTTATTTTATAAATAACAGCATTATTTTTGTTCGCATAGTAAACTACAAAAAAAGTGTTTCCATGGCCTATGATCTAATTACCCAGACTTAAAAATACATAAAGAATATAAAATACTAAAATATAATAAATATAGGACTCACATGGTTCAAGCATTCAGATAATATAGGAAAGGTGAAATGATGCCTAGGATTTGCTTGAGAATCCTTAAAAAAACCAACAGAAAAAGTAGAGAGGAGGGACTAGATGAGCCTAGATTGATGTTATAAAGGTAACTGTTGAGGCTGAATGATAGGGACATGGGGGTTCACTCTCCTAATTTGTAAATTTTTAGCATGTTTCAAAAATTTCCATAACAGGAAATTTTCTGAAGAGAAAAAGCATGCACATGGCCTTTCACATTTACTCAGGCCTTGAGAACAAGATGAGGAGTGTTGGGAGGCTTAACGACGGGAAGGAAGGGACACGTGGACATGGACATCTAGGGACTTAGTGCAACGCTTGCGTGTATGCGCTGCTAAGCTGTCAAATGCACTGTGGAATCAAACCCGTCACAAATGAAAGTAATGCGAATGGAGCATCCCATTCGGTCAGGAAGCCATGGCGTAGAAGAAACAATTGGAAAAACAAGGCTTGTTTAGTCCTAAAGGGGGGAAATTTGAGGGAACCTGACTGTTGGCCAACACCACAGGGCTAGCACGAGGAGGAACGGAGGCTTCAGGCAGGCCGAGGTGAACGAGGGGGCAAGCCACCAGAAGGCGGATCGGCGCCCAAACGGAGGGCATCCTCCTGCCAAGAGCTGCCTCACTCTGTGTGGCAACCTAACCAGGTACTTCAGGCAGAATCGGGCTGGTCACCACAGAGTAGCTGTGAAAGGGATTCTTCTTTAACCATCGATCTGGAGCTTGAATGAGGAGACCTCCAAGGTTCCTTGCAACTCTGAGATTTTATACTACTCATCTCATCTCTATAATCCATTTTGACTCTTGACTGAAAAGGAAAACATGTATTGTTTACCTTGGCTTAAGTTGTTATCTTCTCTTAGCTTCATCATTAATTGTTATTTATTAAGTGTCATTGTAGGTAGTACTGTGATATGTGCTATTTAAAGGGAAAATTGTGTATTAGAGGTCTCTCAGTTGGATTAGAAATTATCCAGGTATATTTTGCACATGGAAAGTGCTCAGTTAAATAATTGGTGACTAAAAAATGACAGAATGAATGATGAATGAGCAATTAAACAGTAATAAACAACAAGAAGACTGTTTGCTAATGGTCCTCAGTTGAAGCCAATGAGCCATGGTTTCTCACATTTAATGAGAGAAAGTTTGCAGGAAGAGCTGGGTCCCCTGTGGAGCAAAAAGCAGGGACTTGACAAAAAAAATATTCTTTGGGTTGGGATTTAGTAAGAGGAAAAAGATCCATTTTCAATGTTGTACATGGGCTGCACAGAGAGGAAATTTGTTACTGAAGTAATTGCAGATGCCCTAAATAAAGCTGCTGGCTAATAACAAATCATTACTAATTACCAAGCTTGTCATTATTAATCTTGGAGCTACTATGTTGTGTTATGAAAGTGGGAAACAACTATGAGAGAAAGTATTCTTGTATTTTACCATTTACAGTGATTTTGTTTTTCAGCATCGGTAATACAGACAGGTCATCTGGCCAGGCTGCAGAAGCTTGACCTGAGCTATAACGATGGCATCTGTGATGCAGGATGGGCCGTCTTCTGCCAAAACGTGTGGCTTCTCAAAGAATTAACTGAGCTGGATATTAGCCTTCGACCATCAACTTTTCGAGATTGCGGACAATGGTTTAGACACTTGTTATGGGCTGTGACCAGACTTCCGGAGATCACTGAAATAGGGATGAAAAGATGGGTCCTCTCACCTTCCCTGGAGGAAGAACTGGAATGCTTCGGCCAAGATCATGGAAGCAGCATTCACTTTGACCACGGCGGATGTCAGTAAGCTGATTTCCCAAGGTCGCAATGTGATTCTGTTTATATAATGTTTTTGAAATAACAAAATTATAGAGACAGAGAACAGCTTAAGGATTGAGAGAGGGGTAGGTGGTACATGTGACTAAAACAAAATAAAACAAAACAAAACAAAACAAAACACCACAGTGAAGACCTATGATGGAACAATTCTGAATCCTGATGTGGTGGTGTCTACATGAAGTTACATGTGACAAAACTGTACTGACCCACACACACACACACACACACGTAAATGAGTGTGTGTATAACTGACGGAACTTGAGTAAGTTCTCTTGATGGTATCATGAAGATTTTCTGATTTTACTGTGTTATAGTTATGCAAGATATCAACACTAAGGAAGGGGAAAGGGTACATGGACCTCTCTGTACATTTCTTTGGAATTTCCTGTGAATAAATAATTACTACAAAATTAAAAGTTCTTTAAAGTAGACAGAATACTGTAATAAACCTCCATGTGCCTATCAGATGCTTCTGCAATTATCAATTTATGGCCAATTTTGTTTTATTTGGATGCCCCACACTTAACCTCTCCCTGATTATTATTAGGAAGCAATTCCCAGGCTTCATACCATTTTATCACAAATAGTTCAGTACAAGTAAGAATCTTTATTTTTATACATGACCATAATTCTATGAATAATTTTAGTGTGGTAGGCATCTAATTCCTATAGATTTTGCTGCCTTAATCCATCAGGGTTCATTACCACAAGTTGCTAATATACAAAGTTATTTCTTCTTTTCCTTTACAGGTTTTCCTTTTGCATCCTTCTTTCCTTTCTTATCTTTTGGAGAATTCTTTCCTTTCTTCCGTAATTTTAACAGTTCATCAAGTTTCCCCAGTCCTTTCCGTACCAACATTCCACGCCACCATGCCTGAATCTGAAAACGAAATCAATCCGAACAGCATTGGCTGGTATTGCTATGAACCGGGGAAGGTTACATCTCTATGTTCTGACATGTGGTCTTAAAGATGTGGAAAATGGAATGTGATTATAACTCTAAACCTTATTTTCTCTCTTTTCTCAATTGGCCAGTCATCCACAAATTTTTTTTAAAAAAGTTTTTAGTGCTTTTATGCACTAAGCACTGTCCTAAATAAACCTTGGGGAAACAGCAGTTAAATACCAATGTCACTGACTTTGCAGAGCTCACATTCTAGTGAGGGGAAGAGACAATAGAGAATAAATGCATGAATGTGTTAAGTGCGCTGTAGATGACAGTGCACAGAAAGGGGAATGGGGGGGGTGTCTCTACCTTGCCTTCATCTTGTGATTAGACTTCCTGTGCCCCTACCGAACTACAGCCCTCCCTCCCTTGTTCCCTTGCTTGATCCTATTCCCTCCCACCTACCCAGGGACATCCCTCCCCTAGTAGTAAGACTCTTTGAGCCTTTAGCACCCAGAACTGCGAGAAAATCAATTTCTATTGTTTAAACCACCCAGTCTATGGTCTGTTCTTATGGTAACCTGAGCTAAGGCAGTCATTTTCCCAATGAGGCCTACCCGGACCATCCTATGTAAATTAAAATCGCATGCCCTGGCTGGTGTGGCTCAGTGGACTGAGAGCTGGCCTGTAAACAAAAAGGTTGCTGGTTTGATCCCCAGTCAGGGAATGTGCCTGGGTTGTGGGCCAGGCCCCCAGTTAAGGGCATGTGAGGGGCAACTGATTGATGTTTCTCTCACACATCCATGTTTCTCCTCTGCTCTTTCCCTCTCTCTAAAAATTAATTAATTAAAATCCCATAAACACATACACACACAACTTCCGGCAATCTCAGTTCCCCTCAGCTTGAACGTTTTTCCAATACCACCTTACACTTTCTAACTCAGTATATAACTTTATGTTTTTATATTTCATGTTTTTATTCCCATCACACTAGGCTTTAAGCAATATAAGGACAGCAATAATTGTGTTTAGTTCACTATTGTATTTCCAGTCCCTGGAATAGTGCTTGGCACAAAGAGGAAGCTCAATAAATATTTGTGGAATGAGTAAGTTCAGTGGGGGTATGCTGTTTTATGCAAGGTGGATTAAGGGCAGGTATGAGGATATGTGAGCAGAGACCCACCTAAATGAGGGCAGAGCATTGTCCATATCTGGGGGAAGTGTCTCTGGGCAGGAGGAGCCAGTGGTAAGACCCTGAGACAGGAGCATGCCTGGACATTGGAAACATACCAAGGATCCTGTTTGTGGCTCAAGTAAAAATGGCAGAGATGGGGAGTGGAAGCAGCAAATCAGGGTGGTGATTGTTCAGGGGAACAGTATTGCCCTCTAGAGGCGTTCTGAAAATTTACAGGGCTTTTGTTGTCTGAACATCAGTCGTCTTCAATTGTGTGGCACATACCCCGGTCCACCCAGACTTCCCAAGGGTACGCTTGCCGGCTCTGCTGACTCTCCACTCCCCACTCCCCATTCACAGCCGGCCCTCTGGCACGCCTCTCCTTCACCTGCATCTGACTAGGGCATGTTGCCCTGGACTCCAAAAAGAGGCATCCCAAAAAGAGGGACAATTCAAAACAGTACTATCAATGTTGGCCCTAAGGACAAGATAACCAATCCTTTTGTCTTCCAACTCTTTGCCTTCAAGAAATTGAAGGTAAACCAGTGACTTGCTTGCTAAGAGCCTGCCATCCGATTTTGGGGAGCATAAATCTGTGGAAAGTTCAAGAGCTGTGCAATGCATTGCCATTTAAAACAAAATGTAGGCCAGAAAAACTTCTCCCATTCTTATCAACTTATTTATATGAAGAAGGCTTCTCAGCACTTCATCTGTAAAATGAAAAACAGGCATAGAACTGATGCCAAGCCCTGTCTCATTCTAGCATGTGTGAAGGTTTCTCTCATTTGTGCCTGTATTTCACAAAAATCCTCCAGGTCAAATAATTAAGCATCAAAATTTGTAAGAGGTGTTATATTGTTTTGGTCAATTGTATACTACTAATAATTATAATATGACTAATAAAATATAGTAATCCAGAACATTAAAAACACTATGGTCACAGAAAAAAATTTAATTTTAAAATTTAATTTATATAAATGTTCTTGTTGCCTAGAAGTTTGAAAGGTTATATATAAATGACTTAAAATTATATATGACTAATAAAGTGTATATTTTATTTTAAGCTAACCCTTAAGACAAATACACACACACACACACAAAACATTCAGATCTCTTCTGAGGGGGAAATGGAGTGAAAATACATGTTCAAGAAGAAAAGAATATGACAAAATTCCTGCCTGTAAACTAAGAGCTTGTTCAAATATTTTGTAAATTGATGTTGACTGATATATCAAATCAAAATGATATTTAGATTCCATTGGATACACTCAAAATATTGATCTAAGAGCTCTGTCTGAAAATGTCAATATTTAAAATTCACTAGAAAGGAAATCCTTTCAATGATTTAAACTTACTGGTGAAAAAATAATTAAATACCAATTTTAAAATGTGAAAGAGGTATATGGCTTTTCAAAAATTCTTTTAGAAAGTGTCTAAAAAGTGTTATCTTTATTCTTCCTGTTCAGTCATTCCTGAGTGTATACATATTAAAATAAATACTTTCATTAATATTTTAATACAAATTACTTTTCTTTTTCTTTTATGTTGTAGCTCAAGCATTAATTTGATTTATTAAAATTATGTGGTTTTGGTAGTTTATATTATATGAGTTTAACTTCAGGAAAAATGGAAAATGGTCAATTTCAATAGAGAAAGACTGATCAACCCATGTTTTGACAACATCAGTCTGACTGCTGAGCGGAAGGTATATTTTAAGGGAGCAGGTGTGGAAGTGGGGGTGTGAGAAGGTGAAGACTTGAATCAGTTGAATGAAGAATATTAAATATTGACTGAAGTGGACACAGTCCTGGTCTCTCTGGGTATCCTCTGTCTCCATGAGCTTGGCGGGTAAGGAAGAGAGTGACAGGGCTCTTTCAGCCTAGTTAGTGACAGAGCAGACCTCTGCTCATGAACGCTTTCATTTCTGATTTTTTCAGACTTATCTTACTGACTTTGTTAATATCAGCTTTTCACTCCCGTGAATAGTCTAAGAATTTTAGGTCATTTTAGGATTTGAAATTTTGGTTCCTTTGTCTGATTTTTGGCTTCTTATCGAACAAGGAGATAAGGAACATAAACAACAAAAACGCTAGGGTGATATTCAAAATTCTCTTGCTTAGCCCTGGGAAAGGAAATGAGTCTCTACCCTCAAAGGCAAGGCATAGATGGGTCAAGCGCAGCCTCATCGCATAATCTGTAATGTGTTTAACACTAACCCCTCTCCGAAGCAACTATGAATGTATTATCTAGACATTTTGCTCATCTTACCTTTGTTGCGAATATTTTCATCTCTCTTTTCTCCTTCAGGTATGTGAATACGGCCTCTTTGCCTTGGATGCACACTTCCACTGGGGGTTCTTCCATCGGATTGTCCAGCAGCGTCAACACCTTCAGATTCACGAGACAATCTAAATCCTCTGGAAGTTGTGTGAGCAGGTTGTCATCAAGCAGTAATTCTTTCAAAGCTGAAACAATTTTTTTTAAATGATAGATTTATCTTAAAAAACAGGCAAGATTAAAATGTGAATTCTTTAGTCCAGTCACTTAGAAATGTTTGTTCCCTACTGTGGCATGTCACAAAAGACATCGGATCTAACAAAGCAAACCCAAGCTCTCGGCATTAAAACAACTCCAAGTAGTGGGAGCTAGTGTAAATGTTAGAGACAGGAAAATAGTAAACACTAAAATATTCTGAGAATGTTCCATTCCTTCAGGGACCTGGACAGGATGACAATGTATGGTCAGGGGAATTGCTAAGGAGGACTGCATCCCTACCACAGCCTCTAACCTTTGAGTATCGTGTGGGTAGGTAACAGCTTCCACTCATATTTCTTCATCCTCCTTTCATTAAAGAAGAATAGTCATAGTTCGAAAACATGTCTATAAACCTGAAGATTCAGCAAATTCTGGTGAAATCTTTTTAAAGAATCTGGCCCCAGTAGGTGCTCAGCACAAGCTTGTTAAATGAATGAATGGATTAATAGGTGTACAAATCATGGGTTAGCCTAGTGGAGAATGTTTGAGTGTTTAAATATGAATCATATATGACTTTTCATGTCAATCATGTAGCTCCAAAACCCCCCTTGCCGATTTCCCCACTCTGATTCAATACTTTTCCTTTTCTTCATGTGACTTAGTGACCTAGTGTGAATTTACTGTAGCACCCCAACTCCCAATTCTGTAGATATTCAGTAAATTACTGTTGGTGGTATAATGACTATATGGATGAGTATTAATTTTCTTAGCGGTTGCTATTTATTTTTATTTATTTTCAATTCCCAATAAGTAATCTGCATTTGTGAAGCTCTTAGCTGTACTAGTCAGGCACCTGACCTTTCCCACATCCCAAGTGAGCCATGCAAGGATGTCCAAGCGCTCTAAACACTAAAGCAAAGAAGGCTTCATTGTGGGAAATGCTGGCCTCAAACTCTGCTAGGCTGTGGACCTACTAAGGTTATTCACCTTGGGCTTGGCAGATGGCATCTGGAAGTTGCTTAAGCAGATTGTTGCGGCAATCGAGAATTTCCAGTTTAGGCATTGACCCCAAGGCTACTGGCAAGTATTCCAGGTGGTTGTTCTCTATATACAGCTCTTTAAGATTCTGAAATAATATGACAGTATACCATAATGATCCTTACATTGAAAAATGATGTAAGAACTAGAATCACTTGTGAGTTCCCATGTTCTCTCAGTGAGGGCTATTATGCATTACAATAAAGGGAAAAAACATTTAAAGGACCATCATCAAAAAATAAAGTTATTTTTGAGTTGAGCCATTATATGTGGTTCCCATTTATGTAGGGAAAAGAGAACATAGGAATCTAGTGTTTATTTCTTGAGAACTTAATGGGAAAATAATTTGGATTATTTAACTATACACATCATTTGCTCCCTTTCAATAGCTAATTAACTCAGAAGATAATTAGCCTCAGAAGTGTAATTTGCTCAAATACCAATCCAACATTGCCCACGTGGAGGTAGCCAAATGTACAGTTAATAAGTTAACTACTTTCAAATTTACTGGGCAAAAATTTGTTTGTATTTCACCCTAAGATTTCGGAGAGTGTGGCATGAAATTACAAGGTGCAAGATGATGAACGGAGTTCTATGAACACAGAGCAGAGGAATGGAGAATTAGGAATAGGAACCCTGTGTCACAGGTGACAAGCATCTGTGTTAAATCTACCATTGTTCAGTTTAATGACTGGGGATAATGTGTGGCCCACAGCTACTTTATCAGTATTAAGAGTGAAGTACCAGGAGCATGAAAAACATAACAATTCTTTAAAGTATGTACATAGATAGAAACAAACTGGTATGGCTACTTTGAAGGAAGTTCTCTTGTTGCTTAGCTAGGATTTGGCAGTGTGCCGTGGACCAATCTTCAGTGAATCCGGTGCAACAGTGAAATAGATCATAATTTGCCTTCCACCACGTAGGCTGTGAGGTCTTCTTGCCCCCTCCCAGCCATGTCACCTGTATGATACTTTAACTTCAAAATAGTATGACTTTCAGGGGCAAATTATGTAAAAGTGAAAAGTAGTATCACTCAATTTACACAAATAAAACATGACAATCCACACAATGGAAAGAAATATGACATAACACACCCAATAGCAATCTCAATAAAATATTCTTAGGGTATAAATCTGGGGGTTGTTCAGGAAGAAAATGGAAGCCCAAAGTATAAAAATGACTGCTTGCTTGGAGCTAGAAATCTCCTATGGTTGATTTCAGACATTGCCTGTGGGTACACCACCATATTTTCTCAGTATCAGCCAACTTAAGGAATCAGTAGGCATATATTTCTTTAACTGCTCATTTGGGGATGCTTACCTGTAGTTTCCCAATGTGATCTGGCACATAGGTGAGCTTGACTCCCTGATCTTGCCCAATGAATAATTTCTCTAAAGACTCTAAAGAAAAGATTTCTTCTGGAAATGAAAGGTACTGATTCCCAGTTAATCCAAGCATCTTCAACTTTGAAAGTGAGCCAAAATCTGAAGGTAGCTAGAAATATTCAAAAAAGATGAATTTCAGGCCAAGATTTTTTTTAACAGTAAGAAAATAAATTGGACTTTTAGTTTTGAGGCAGATTTTTAAACAACAACAACAAAAGAGCAATTTAGCAATTCTTACCAATGACAAGTTTGCACATATGTTTGCATATATAGTGTTTATAATTGTAGATCTAAAGTCTGGAGTTCTACTTTTCCCCTGAGTTTCTCTGTTCTTCACTTTTATGCACTGCTTTACACTGGGGCAATTTTTAACCTTTATTGCAAATTTTTGAATAGCAGTGTAGCAAATGCTTGACACTACTGAAAGAAAAAGGACTAAAGTTATTAGTGTAATATTACAATTATAACATTCATAATTATTAGAACTGATAAATTTAGTGACATTATCTCTCACACTAAAAGGCTTTAACTCAGCATTTTTTACAAGCACTATTTTCTTTTTATAAAGAAAAAGAGTGCCTAGACAGTGCTGCCATATATAGGCTGTGCACTGCACAAGTCCAAGCGTGCAAAATTGCATGGTGGCATTCAGCAGCCCTGTAGCTGCAACTACACTTCTGTGTTTTTTTACATTCAATATTATTATATATTAGTTTCAGGTGTACAGCCTAGTGGTTAGACAATCGTATATGTTACGGAGTGGTCTCCCCAATATTTCAAGTAATCATCTGTCACTGTACATAGTTATTATAATATTATTTAATATATTTGCTATTCTGTACTTTATATCCCCATGACTATTCTGTAACTACCAATTTGTACTTCTTAATCCCTTTATCCTTCTAACCCAGTCCCCTGACCCCATTCCCTTCTGGCAATCACCAGTCTGATCTCTGTATCTATGAGTCCATTTCTATTTTGTTGGTCCATGTATTTTGCTCTTTAGATTCCACATATAATGAAATAATATGGTATTTGTCTTTCTCTGTCTGACTTATTTCACTTAGCATGATAACTTCTAGGTCCATCCATGCTGTCATAAGTAGTAAGATTTCACTCTTTTTATGGCTGTAACTCAGCAACTCTGAAACTTCTGCTGAACTCTCAGTTAACAGCAAACGGTGAAGACTATTGTATCTTGTCCTTTTTCTTCCCTCCAGGGAACACCAAGGTTTGTGTGCCCTGTGCGGGTTTTAGGTGGACATCTCACAGGCTCCCAGAATTTCAGGGTTGGAAGGCCCTCTGTTCTAACCTTCTAATATGGTGATTGACTAAACTTCATAGCTAACCTTCCAGTCCATAGTTAAAACACCATTTCCTGGAATGAAAAGCTTATCATCTTGGATGAAAACCTCTAATCATCGATTTTCTTCTTTTCTTTAAGCCAAAATCAGTGTCACTATTATGCCCAACCATAGGTCTTTCTGGTCCTCTGGAATCACATGCAAAAGCCTCATTCTTAAAATGTGTGACATACTCACCTACTGGTTATATTAGAGATGCTGATTTTCTTGTAGGGGAAAAAAAGCCTAGCTATACAAGGTCTGTCTGGGAAAAATCCAGCCATTATTAATATGATGAGAATGGTTTGTGTGATCCATGTAACCTGGCAGCAAAGGAGAGTGGACTGGAATGCACATGCATGAACAAGGATGACTTCACTGTGCTAGTCAGTGGGGGCAGTAGATGCCATTGAATGACCATGTGTACTTTGTGGCTATTACATCCAAAATGACATCAAATTTTATGTTAGGCTTGAACATCCCTCCATGGAAACTATTCACATGATTCAGAAGGCCACAGCTATGGGCAACTGGTGACTGGCAGCTTCATCACGACAATGTACCCACTCACGCATCACGTCTCATACAGAGTTTTTTGGCGGAACATCAAATCACCCAGGTTACAGAGCCTACAGCCCAGATTTGGTGCCCTGTGACTTCTGGCTTTTCCCAAAACTAAAGCCATTTTTGAAAGGGAAGAGATTTCAGGCCATCTGTGAGATTCAGGAAAATATGACAGGGCAGCTGATGGCGACTGGGAGAACTATGGTCCCAAGGTGCCTACTTTGAAGGGGACTGGGATGTTATTGTCCTATATACAATGGTTCTTGTATCTTCTTCAATAAATGTCCCCTATTTTTTATAACAGTGGGGAATTGTAACCCACTCCACCATTCTTTTGGCAAATTGTTTCTGTAAATGCTGACTCTGACTAATATGTAATTTGTAGATAAATAGAATGTCTGTAAAAGAATCCTAGGAGCTAACTTCAAAAGATAAAGACTCTGACCTTCAGGCATTCCAGCTCCAGGAGATTTGCTAATCTCCTAACGTAAAACCAGGATGACCCACACACCAGGCCATCACTTGGCCCATTTCTAGGTGCTTATGAGAATAGATTGTGCTGGTCTGCACATAGAGAACTTTTCAACCCCCTCCCTCGATCTCTTTGTTCTGCTTCCCCTCTCCCTCCTTATAAAAACCTCTGCCTGCACTGACATGTTAAGATGGGTTTTTGAGACAAGAGTCCCCCATCTTCTCAGATTGCTGGCATCTGAACAAACCACTTTCCTTCTCACCAGCATGTCTCACGAGTTTGGCTTTCGTTGTGGCAGGCAGCCAGACCTGTATTTGGTCAGATGTGTATGTGTATTTTTGTGCGATTAAATATTTTTAAGTGGCATGATAGGGTTCTGCAGTTTGGTGTTTTACTTTTAAATAAACTTTACACTTTTGAGATTTATCCACATTGGCAACTCTAGCTCCAGTTTACTTAAATTATTGTATAGTATTGCATTTTATGAACACATATACTACAATTTACTTGTTCATTCCTCTACTGACTGACATTTAGATTGTCTTCCATTACTTCATGATTATCAACAATGCTATGATGAACATTTCTGAACATCGCACCCTGCACATAGGGGAGAAAGTTTCCCTAGGGATGAAGCTCTTATTTGCATTTTCTTATTAATGGACCATTAAGGCCTAAGACTGTATATGTCAGAAAAATCTGCTGTTTAAGGAAATCCTGTTAGGAAGCGGTCTTTGTTAAGACTATAGACCCTGGAGCCCAGAAGCTCTGGGTGGGAACCCTGTCTCTAATGCTTATAGGTGTGTGGCCTTGGCAAGTTAGTTATGCTCCGTATGCCTCATTTTCCTCAAATATCATTGAGGATAATATTACCCACATCAAAAATCCTTGTGAGGATTAAATGACATAATCCACATAAAACACTTTGCCCAGTGACCGTCATACATATTATAAACATTAGCTACTATTTATAATTAATATTGTGATTTGAGGGAAGCAATATAAATGATGGTCTTTTTGGATATATTTGTTAACCCTGATTTTTTGCCCCTACAGTCAGTTAGAATTTGTCCAGACACAGAATCACACCAACTTAGGGCACGAAGGGCCCTTAATGTGAGGATAGTGACAGCCAGGCCAGGAATCCGTACCTGCTGTATTTTATTATCATCCAGCGCCAGGATCTCCAGTTTCTTCAGTGTACAGATCTGCGACGGACAGCTTTCCAGATGATTCTGACTGAGATCCAAGAAGCGCAGGTTGACCAGACGCCAGAAGGAGCGCCGCAGCACATGCAGGCCGATGTTGCTCAGGTAGAGCAGGTGCAGCGAGGTCCACCTGCAGACGAGGCGCGGCACCTTCTCCAGGGGGTTCCCGCTCAACCCAATCTCGGTCATCTCCGAAAGCTCCTCCAGGGTGTGTGGGATGAAGTGGAGCCGATTGTGGGATAAATCCAGCACCGACAGTTTGCTACACCGGCACAGAGACTCGGGTAGAGCGTATAGGCTGTTATGAGCCACGTAGAACTTCTGCAGACTGGTCAGGTTCCCAATCTCTTCGGGAATGGCCGTTAATCTGTTCTCATCCAGGTCAATGATCTCCAGGTTGTAGAGGACACAGAGCTCCAGCGGGAAAGCTTCAAGTTGGTTTTGCTTCAGGTAGATCTCCCTCAGTTTGGTCTGGTTCACGATTTCCATGGGCAGAGATTTCAGGTAGTTTCCGGACAGTCCGAGCAGCTCGAGGTGGTGGAGGAGTTTACAGATTTTGATGGGGACTTCCCTCAAGTGCGTGCGGTAGAGGCGGAGCTGGCGCAGCGCGCGCAGGGAGCTGACCACCAGAAGGGAGGAGGGGAGGAGGGGGTTGTCGCTCAGGTCCAGGTCCTCCAGGTTGTCCAGCTTTGTCAGCTGGGGGCACAGCTTGCTCAGCTTGTTCTTGTTCAGGTAGAGAATTTTGACATTCTTTAAACACTGAATATTCGGAGGAATTTCTGCAATCTCGTTGTTTTCCAGATGCACTTCTTCTAATTCTTGTAATTCCAAGATCTCCGATGGAATGGTAGCCAGGTTCTGATTAGAAGCATCCATGAAAAATGTTCTATCAGAGATTTGCTGTGGGTCATATTTCTGATGTGTTGTACAGGACTGTTCTGCTGTAGAGGACTGTCCATTTGACATTATTTCGATGGAAAATTCAAATACTCAAAAGCTGAAATATTATGAAAGGAAAAAATCAGAATTTACCTGCCACCAGATCTGGTATCTTTAAGAGAGACAAAATTAAAATTTAGTTGATTAAATTCAGTGCTTGACATTATGGCACAACATAAAATGCAGGTTTTTGTGTTCTGTGTTGGGAGAAGGATTAAAGTGTAGATTCCTCTTTATTCTAACAGGTTGACTAATACGAAAAAATATCTAATTTCAGTTTTAAAAAATGTCTATCTTGATTCTATTTCCAGGTAGGAAGTATGAGTGTGCAAAAGATTGTTGGTCTTACCACAAACACTGAGAAAACACTAGGAAAAATGAATACTTTAATATATAGTATTTTTTTTTTCTTAAAACCACCAGAGAGTTGTAGATGCAAAGAAGGTCAAAAGAAGTAAATTTGTGAGATGGACTAGTCTTTCCTAAACAAGTCAAGACCAGGGGGCACTTTTATGCCTAATGGCGTTTTCAGGTCTGGTGACTGGCAGATAAGAGCAGAAAGTCTTCTATAAGCCATAGGCAAAGGACCCTTTGGGATAAGGAGAAGCCAAAGTTTTAACAGCCATGGTGGATTAGAATCCTGAGGAAGCTCAAGTGTGAAATCAGTTCTCCCCCATTAAACTGGCTTTAGGGAAGGTTGCAGGCTGGGCTAAGAAGCAGAGAGAACCTGTCCTCCCAAGGTCTCACATCCCTAAGCCTGGCTGGGGGGAGGGGCTTCGATCCTTAAGCAACACATTTGAAATTGCAGTAATGGAAATGAACTAAATCTGCAACCCAGAAAGAAATTAAATGGAGATATAAATCATGTCCATGGATTAGAACACTCAATAATGTTAAGATGCCAAAACTCTCCAAATTGCTCTGTTGTTTCAATGCAATCCCAATCAAAATCTCAGCAAGATTTATCCTTTCTTTTTTGGTAGAAGTTAACAAGCTGATTCTAAAATTTATATTAAAATGCAAAAGACATAAAATTGCAGATGACAATCTTGAATAATAAGAGCTAAATTAGCGGATTTACACTACTGGATTTATAAGTCCTATAAATCTAAGATGTTAATATTGTATTATGGAAGTCTAAGTCCTTGATCATTAATACACACACACACACACACACACACACACACACACCCCAAGGGAGAAGGCAGAGAAGACACATAATAGTAGCCAGGTTCATTGCAGTGGCAACTTTGACTTGCCTTGTAGGCAGCAGGGAGAGTAGGGTGGGGTGAAGGGCTTTCCTGCTGGAGTCCTGGGTCTCTCCTCTAGCACAGAGGCCTAGTCCCTAGGTAGAGGGGGTGCATTTCCAGCCCCACACTTAATATTACTGCTGCGTGCAATATAACACTATACAGTCAGGTCCCTGTTACTGTATATCTGCCCTGAAAAGGAGCTCTGAGGTGGTGTTTATCTCTATTGTTTAAATAAAGAAGAAGATTTACCATTGATTAAATATACTAAAAATAGCTGTCTCCAGCATTTTTGTCATTTGGTCATCAGACAGATCAATACCGTTCAGTTCTGTGTTGAGAACTCCCGGTTCTTCAACACAAACTACTGAAATGCTGAAGGCTCCTAGATAATCTGCAGTATTCAGACTGCGCTGATCACATAAATAAAAATCCAGAGCACCCAGTGTAACACATAGAAACTCAATTTCATTAACATGACACTTTCTCTTTGTCTGTCCACTCCCTTCCTTAGTTATTGAGCCCTTAGGACATCGGATTCTGGTCAGCATCACACTGTCTTAAAAGCAAGCCTCAGGCTTGTTGACCACAGAAACAGAGTTTCAGTCAAGTTAAAGATAACATCTTTCCTCAGCTGTGTTTGAGACCCAGGCCCGTGGGTCTGAAAGCAGAATGACTCTAAGGAACACACCTCAGGAAACCAGACAGAACACCACACGACTGACAGGAGGACCAGATGCAGTGATCAACTGCTCCCTACCCTGGCCCCAAGCAATCAGTAGAGCCATGCCCCCATCTCTGTTAGCCACCATCTTTAATGATTTTTCCCCTGTGTAATCCATCCCCTGAAAGCCTCACGGGAGCTTTGAACACTAGCTTGCCTGTGACTCCAGGCTCGGCACCATTTCCTCAAATAACAAACCCTTTCTTGGCTGCAAACTCCTGTTTGCATTTTATTGGGCTTTGATGCAAGCAGGCAAAAGGACCCCTTTAATCCAGTAACACCAGGACACTTATGTGCTCTAGGCTTTATTCAAATTAACCTGTTTAATCCTCACCAGAACCCTAAGAAGGAGGCACCATTATGATTCCCTCCCATTTTAGAGATAAAATCAGTTACTAAAAGGGCTCTTCTCAGAACATAGTAGGGACTGGGAGCAAAAGCAGATAATTTTGCTTAACCTCACATTGGTTTTTAGCATCATTTGTTCACAAGAAGCCTGGTTTTTATTAGAATAATTCTTCTTGGGTGTGAAGTTTCAGGCTTTATTTTTCTTCCTCAGCCATCCAACAGTTATCTGGGGGAAATTCGTGGGGACTAGCCATCCTGATCAGGGTTGACACAATATGTCTGGGCTTGCAGACACATAAAAGAACTTACTCCTCCTAACATTCATCTTGCTCCATGATGAAATCGGGCTAGAATGTCAGAATGTATGTGTATTTATATTATCTTGCCTTAATCAGATATCCCATCTGTGTCTGGAACCAATTTGATGGCCCTCTGAAAGCTATATATATATTGTATATCATTAGTGGACATAATAAAAGGAGTTTGTGGGGAACACTTTGTAAAGTATATGATTGTGTAACTACTATGCTGTACACCTGAAACTAATACAAAATAATATTGGAAATAAATAAATAAGAGGCTGTAAAGCCAGGATTTGCAACAGCTTTGCCCGTAATTCAGCCACAGTAAATAAGAATGGGGAAGACTGATTTTTTTTTTAAGATTTTATTTATTTATTTTTAGAGAGGGGAAGGGAGAGAGAGAGAGAGAACATCAATGTGTGGTTGCCTTTCATGCATCCACTAGTGGGGACCTGGCTGGCAACCCAGGCATGTGCCCTGACTGGGAATCGAACTGGCAACTTTAGTTCACAGGCCGGCACTCGATCCATTGAGCCACACCAACCAGGGCAGGAGGTTGATTCTTTATTGGCTATTTTCCCCCCCTAGAAATTGCTACCTGAAAATGGTCAAGTTCACTCATTACAATCCAATATCACTGTGGTGTTTCTAAGTGGAATAATTTGTTGCATCATCACTTTAAGGAGTGGGATTGGACAACTTAATAATTAGCTCTTTAAAAATATGTCTACTGACTTTTTAGAGAAAAAGGGATAGGGAGACAGAGAGGAACATCAATTTGTTACCTCCCATACATACCCCAACTGGGGAATTGAACCCACAACCTAGGCATGTGCCTTGACTGGGACTCAAACTCCCAAACTTTCGGTGTGTAGGACAATGCTCTAACCAACTGAAGCACACCAACTAGGGCTAATTAACCCTTCTTTATGTAACTTTAATGCCCAAGAAAACCATTAAGGAAAATGAGCCACTCTCTCAAATTTACATCGTGTTGATGTTTTTGTTTCCACATCTAATTACATGCAAACTGGATAGATAAAATTGGGGTCCTGAGGTTAATATCGTGTGTGACTCTCTCTGATTACATTTTTAGTTAAATTTATTTCAAGATTTTGCTTAAAACTTCACCTGGGAGCTCTTTCTCCTCTAATACAGACAAGCTAGAAGTAGCTTTAATTGGCCTAGGACTAGAAAGCCATGTAAAAGTAACAGTACCCTTTAATAAAAATTTCTTGGAAACTATAAAATCCTTTGAAAAAATGTTGTCTCCTTTCAGCTAATACTGATCTGAAATTCCACATAAACTTCAGACATCAGCAGAAAACATTTTATAAGCAAGCCACTTGAATGTGTGCTTCCACCTGCACTGTTGCCAAATTATTGATCTGAAATAGCTTCTCAGGGCTTATTTCCTTTAAATAGACTCAAAAGTTACATCTTATCTGTTTTAAAAAATGTTTCACCCTCAGTTCCTTACCCCATCATCAAACTATGGATCTAGTAACTCATTGACAAAACTTTTTTTCCCTCTTTTTTATTCTATTTTTATTGGTTTTTCAAAATGTTACTTGTATAGTGAGCAGGAGAGACTTCTGGATACTATTTCACTATTAATCACTGACATACTTTCTCATATCATCAGAAAATTAGAATGTAAACTTTTAATGGAACTCACCCTGTATCCATGGGACAAAATAATGTTTAAAGTAACAAAGCACTCATTTTTCCATCTGCATATTCAGTACCTAAACATTCATGCATGAACAACATTAGAAGTCAGCACTTCAGATACTTGTCAAAATATCATCCAGGAATTTATTCTGTTCCAGCCCTTGCTAGCACCTCAGTTAAGCCACATGATAGTTGTGAAAACTAGCTAATGGATATGTTAAATATTTCCCCAGATCCATATTTTCAGGAAACAGCTTACCTAGAAACTATTATCATAATTAAACACTATGCTATTGGCTTTCCAAATAGAGTTACAATAAAAGAAACAATAATTTGAAAAGTATTTCTGGATCTTCTACATAACTATATATAGTCAAAGACATGTCTATTAAGTTGCTTATATAAAGATATACCTAGTAAACTGTCCTAATATAGCGTGACAGAGAAATGTAAATATTGCCTTTTATTGAAGCAAGGGGACTATATACTCTCATATTTTCTTTGGTTCTGGCTTCTAGAAAGCTCAGATCCAAGTTAGACCTTTACCCTATATTCTTGACACACAAGCACCCAATGAATCCTCTTAAGTTGCCTTGAAGCCAGCTCAGCAACATCTCTCTCCCCAACCTTCCCTGCCCTTCAGTGATTCTCAAGGGGATTGTTCTCCCCAGGACGTCCCCCCTCCATCTGGAAATTATTAGGGATAATAAGAAATGTACTGATGGAAAT